TTAATGCCTTAACAAAGCCTCTAAGCGCTTCACATTACTACCCCGGTCATTTTATCAAACACATATGGAACACATTGAACACCAAATTAAATTATTAAGTTAAATTATTCCATATTGCGGCTAGTAATCAGCGCAGTTGTGTTGGAACCTACCAGGTACCCACTTGTACTCCTGGGTGGAGAGAGGCAACCGTAGATAAAGTGCCTTGGTTTCAATATTCAATTAAATATTCAATATTTAAAACATTCGTTCACAATTTTAATTGAACTATGGTTTGGTATGTACAGTAAGGCACTTGCCTTTCATCTCAAGTGCGGGTCTGGGTTTTTTTTTTTTTTTAAACCCCTATTAAAAAACAAAAACAAACAGATATATATTAAAATCAATCAATATTGAAACCAACATTAATTTACTTGTTCTTGTTTTTACACAGTTACTTGAGCATGAGTTCAACTACTTGGAGATTAAAGGCATAGAGTCAGAAAAGGACAAACAGGTACAAAACAAAAAATGTAATAAGCTTTCATGTATATTTGATGTGTAACATACTAAGAATAACCCACTGAGTACTGTACAGTGGCGGATGGGGGAGGCCTGGAGCTGGCATGGCTCCCCCACCCTCCTAAATTTTTAAAAATTGTAAACAAATGTAGAAAGAAAGAAAATATTAATCAAATTTAGGTCTGAGACTGCCATTTTTTGCCATCTAGAGAGCCATAATCATAAATTTTCTTACCTTAGCCCCAACCATGGTAAGGGTGAGGCTCTCCATCTGTGGCCCTGGGCCTACCTGGGGATGAATTGCTGTATCGGTACACTAGGAGACAATCACCAACTGCACATAAAAGATAGTGCATTCATCGTACAGTAGCTTGTATTGCAGCTCTCTAACTAAAAAAACACAAAGCTATGTAGTATTGGAATTGAACCAGGGGCCAAATCTGCAAAGAGTTCATGGCTCTTACTGGCTTTCACCACTTTTGCCAACCAACTTGAACAATATAATTTAATTGGAATTATGATTTAGCTCCGGTAATTAGTTCTCAATAATTAAAACATGAAAATATTTTCTTGCAAATTAACAGTTTGTTTTTGCATATATAGGCACTGGCAGATAATTTAATAAAAATCTGTGATCAGAGAAACACATAGTACTATAAATTGTTTTGATATGTATCTTGTTGAAACTTTGTAAGTTATTTGATAATTGAGTTTGATGATTTTTATAGATTTAATATATTTAAAAAAAATTTAATTAATGTAATTTTCACTATCTATTTAATTTAGGTTATAAACATTAGATTCTATCATTTTTAGTTTACTTGTAATACAAATTCATTGTATATTATTCTGTTACATTTTGATATTAGTACTATCAAAATGAAATATGCATGAAAAGTGTAATATTGTGTTTGGAACATTTGGCATAAAATACTATTTGATTATAGTATATTATTTGCAACTCTAGCTAATGTCCAGTTGAAACTTACAGATGCTTTTGGCGCTGTTCTTTTTATACAGCATAATTTGTAATTAACTGATTTTAATTGCCCTTTGTTGCGTCCAATTGAATGTTTTGAAAATTTGCATAATATATGACAGCTAACAAAATATGTATTTTAAGAATTAATTAGTTGACACAAGCCAACCGTCTGACTACTTTTACACCTGTACTATACATTAGATTTTCGGGATTGGTGCATTTACTGTATTCATTTGATTATCAATTGTAAGAAAAATGTAAACACTTTGTATAAAAAATGTCAGCTTAGATTTCCACTGACGGCCTGTGGTTGACACGGGCATTCCAAACCCTGGTTGTGAATTACTTACAGAAGAATATGACTGCTTCACGGTCTTTTATAGCTGTGTAATGAAGGGCAACATGTTCTATTAATACCAATTTATCTGTACAATGCTTTTATCAGCATGTGCATCATATGTAAAGTGGGATCTAACAGGGAATTCCCCTTAATAATAAAAGATGATAACTTAAGAAGTTTAATGTAGTTTATTACAAACTATAACTTGACATTTGACCTACCTTTGCAGTTGATTCCCTCACAAAATATATTGTTATGGAATTCATAATTTATTCATTAATCAGCCAATATAGAAAACTAAATGACATTAATACAGATACTACCATTCATGGTATTGCAAACAATTGGAGATTGGGGGGAGGGGGCTCAGTGATTAACTAAGAGGGATGCTACTGTAGCTTGCAAAAATGTGATATATGGTGATTACTTACAGTACTAGAGCATAATTTTTTGCATACCCCCTACAGTAAATACGCACTGATTTGAAGATGTCCATTTGAAAATAAAATTTAAATACCGGTAAAGACCTATTCGCAAAACAACAAAATAAAAAACAAAACAGAACAAAAAACATATTTAAAGATCAAATAGTAACATGCAAAATGCTGAGAAACAGATTAAAGGCATCTGTTTTTGCTATCAACTTTCGGGTTATGAGGGGAAAACATTTAATGTAGTTTACTGTGAAAATTACAGGAAGGATATAGCAAAATTTTATAATGTATGCACTTGTATTTATTTACGGTATTCATTCTTTTGGGTTGGTTAGAGATTCTCAGTACCACAATGTGATGGTACTATCTTGCTGCCACTGGATACTAGGACTAATCCCTACAAGGTCTGGTCATAAAATCCAAAAGAAAAAAATATTAAGGACTGTGTAACCATTTGCAAAACAAGTTTGAAAATACAAGAAGCATGGTATCATCGCCACCACCACATTATTGTTATCAGGCAATGAGGGTTTGTATATTAAAACCTGTTTATGTAGGTGCGGTATATTGTGAAATGTATAAAATAATATAAAATTTTCGAATTCCAAGTGGTGACAGTGTATGTGAACTGAAAATATATAGTATGTATGAAGAAATACCTCCACTGGTGATAATTAATATACAGTATGTTTAGAAGAAATAACAGATTCTTTTATTTAATATGTTTTAGGTGAAATTTGTATTGGAGAATGGCAAGATAATCAACATCTCAACATCAAGTGTTGAGGAGACAGACTGCTTGATTGAGTACCTCACAACTTCACTTTTAAAAGTCTTCCCGCAAACTCCAATCTTGTATGTTCTTTATAATTACTCATTTTATTCCCTCGATTTGAAGTAATTTTATTATATTAGTTTGTTAAAGTAAATATAAAAACTATTACAAGAAAAAACAAAAAGACAATAACTCCGAAAAGAGACAGAGACATTTTGAGATTCAACGTTTCGATGTATTTGATCATTTTCAAGAATACTGATGAGAAAATCTCACCCATCCATATATGTTTACAATATTTACAGAAGTATAACAGAAAGCAAATAAAAACCAACCAATCAGATTAAAATCAAAGTTATAACTAGCCAATTAAAAATGAGGTAAATAAAAATGAAGAAAAGGAAAGGTGGCTTCCCCTTTCTCTTAAGGATTCATTATAATTTTAATGGGTGTTTTCTATCTGTCACTCAGGGACTTTGATATTTATTTTTTATATTTACCAAATCTCATTATGCAGAAAAAATTATCCTAAAATGTATGCCCAGCCCAATAAAATTAGATTCAATTTCAGATGTTTGGCAAGTTAATTTGAAGTTCTTATGTGCGAACCAGAATTTGAAACATGTAGTACACAACACAATGAAGGTTTTTGCATACCATGCAACTAGTTACTTAGGCCCCATAAAAAAAATTATTAGTTTATCACCCTATCAAAGAATAAAAACTGATGAGGAAGGGAGGTTTTTTTTTTTTGCTAACCCTGCCCCCATTTTACTGATGTTCACAAGTAAATCAATGGTTAGGGACACTTATATAAAAAGGCATACGATTGGAATCAAATTTATATTTTTAAAAAATTTGAATTTCCCCAAAAGTGATGAGGGAGGGGATGATAAACTAATAATTTTTTTATGGGGCCTTATCCCAAATTTGCAGTCTTGTGTAACTGTGATGGTCATTTTGTGGTGTACTGTATTAGAGACAAAATAGGCATGGCTCATATAATCTATTATTTTCCTTTATTACAAGAGCTTGTAATTGTGGGAATTTATTTTGTAACCTAGACCTTGAGGAGCTATTGACCTTAGCAAAGCAAAGCAAACTAAGGCACAATAAAAAAAAATAATTGTTTTATCCTCCCTGCCTCCATGTCTTGTCTAGTATTTGAAAAAAGAACATTTTGTTGAAATTTTTTTCATTTTTTTTTCATTTTTTTTTTTAAATTTAAGTTTAGTACATTGTTGGCATTACCTCAATCATGTATGTTATTTTGAATATCAATGCACCTGCAAAAAACTCAAGGGTGATATTTGGCTTTAGCAAGATAAAAAAATAAATACAAAGTCTCCCTCCATCCCACCCTCCCTCATCACTTTTCCAGCCTAGTTTGGATGACAAACTAATCATTTTTTGTATTGGGCCTGACAATGAACACAGTGAACAAACATTTGGATGGTAAATGCAGTAGACCTCGAGTCTGCTACCGTTGATTTTTTTCAAATTTTTCCCTGTTTTCCTTGTTTTTGTTTCGTGTTAATGTTGTTTTTGATGACTGTTTTGATGGTGGTTTGAATTAAAAGGATCATAAAAATGTTGTAATAAGAGTTTTGCTTGATTTTTTAGGAAGTTGATATCAAGCTTGAAACTGGAACCGAATGCACGTCAGACTGAATTAATGGACAAGTTGGAGAATTTACCGCCTGCTGATGTCGGTCCATGCGGTGGCTTTTCACGCATGTATGCTTGCATGTGTGATCATTTGAAACTTACGTACATGCCTGAAGTTGCATGGGTGAGTATTTTCTAATGTTTTCACTTAATTTGAGGTCAACTTGTAATGCGCAGAATTTGATTCTTATTGTTTGTGTTAGCTATAGTGAAAGTAAAAGTTTATGAGAGCTTAGCTGTGGTATTGTTTTTTGTCAGTGAATAGGATATTGCTGCTTACTAATGAGATACATATTGCTAGTGTATTAGTAATCCTTATCCCATCTGCCAAAAAAATCAAATATATTGTATTGTATAGATAATTATACTAAATTAAAAGTACTGTAGCCATGTTAGTTGTATATTTATTTCAGTAATATTATAACAATGTAAACTAAATTAATAGATGACATCTATTACATGTCCGAGTGTTTTAGGTCTTTGGCATGATAAAAAATTATGATGGTTCAGACTGTAGCTTTGTGGTCTTGTGTTTCATTTTAATTCTTTTACTGTAGTGCATAGTACTGTATCTTTATTAGAGTGATATAAATATGATTAACATCATAATCCTATGTAATCTCATCTTCCTTTTAAGAATCTGGACTTTAGTTATGGAAAATCACTTTTTTTTTGTTTTATACTGTAGGACATTGAAACTATATACTTGTCCCAGAACTGCAAGAATCTATGTCTGAATGATTTTGATCATCTTAATCAAAGGTAATTTGTAATCTAAACACAGACACTCTGTAAAATGTGTTAATTATACTGTAAACATTGAAAGAAACCTGAAGTTTATAGAGTATTTATTGTGATTTTCACATTGCCTTTATTTTAGTAAAGAGTGCATGTATTATGGTGATTTTCAGTGCCTGTTAATTTAACAGTACACTTAATTGTACTAGTAGGCATATTTGATATTTTTAAATTTTACATATATTGCTATTATTAAACTCTTAATTAGGTGAGTATTAGCAAAGTTATCAATATTTGATTAATTAGATGTGAGCCATGTAGGTTTTAATAAGATAGCTTCTAAACCTTGGACAAAAATCAGGGACAGGATTTATGAAACTAGACATCAGCTTAAATTCATCTTAAGTCCATTTTTTTGCTTAAATCAAATTTATCAATATTGCTTTAATTTAAAAATAGCTTAAGTTTAAAATGTCGATTGTACGTATGAACCATCTTAGACAATTTTTTAAGCTAAGATTTTGCTAAGATGGTTTGATAATTTAGCTTAAGATATTTGCTTAGGGACATTTGCTAAGTTGAGATAGATAAATCCCGGGCCAGGTGTGTATCACTTTTCAGGTAGACTTACTGAATGATATTTAGCAGAAATGTTCTTCAATGTCTTCTTTCATAAGCTAGAAAAACCTGAGATTAGTCAAGACAAGATGCCAATGCTAGAAAGTTCTGGTTGCTTTCAGAAAATTATAAATGCCAAAAAATGTAAATGTTTTGCCAGAGCCGGTCACAAATCTTATTGTTCAAGCAGGATTGAATCTTAGACCTTCAAGTTGGTTCTTGGTTAGAAAAAAGGGCAAAAAAATAAAAAAATAAAAAAACCAGCAGTAATGACTGTGGGAAATGTTGGCAAATAAGATACAACATTGATAAGCGAACTCTAAATGTAAACAAAATGTTAAACATCCAGATGAGGAAGTCATAGGTTTTGGCAACACTCATCATTCATCAGTGACATATAGCTCTTAATCTGTGTTAACAAGAAGATGTAAATTTAATTTTGTTTTTTATAATTGTGCAGCTTTTCATATCACATCTTCAATATATATATTGTATCTATTGATTATTATCTATTAATAAATAAATAGGCGTTTTGTTTTGACAAATTCTTCATTTTTTTTCTGTTGATTTTTTTAGGGATTTAACGCCAATAATTGCGGCTTTGGAGTATAACACTTTCTTCACTCAACTATCAGGGAACAGTCTAAAAGTTAAATTGGTAAAGTATACATTTCCTGTCACAATAATTTGTAGAATAAGCATTTTCATCAGCCTCTCTTAAGTAAAAGACTTGACAAGTATTAGGTTGGATTATAGCATGGCTTAAATAAAAACAAAGACTTCAGATAAGTAGTATCTTAGAGTTATGTATCTTAGTGATATAAATTAAATATGTAGAAGTATTTTATCTGTATGCCTTAGATAAGATATAATGCATCTGAAAATTTCTGGTACTACTACTGTAATTATTATTCTAGACTGTTGATGAAACAATCGTTTACTGTTAACATTTTATGCTGTTTGTTTTGAATGTTTGCAGTACTAGCACATTTCTCAGGTGAAATATCTCCTTATCACAAAAAATTCCCAAATGCCTAAGTATAGGTCTATCTGAATGTACTAGTATATTGTAATGTAGGCCTGATATGTTCCAGGTGGTTTAACATTTATGACCATTTTATAATTACCTCAAACTTTTGTCCAAAATATTTATTTTAATTGTAATTTCAATTTAAGATAAATCTGATTTATATTATACAAGTAAAATGATATTGTACCATTGAAGATAAATTTGTACATGAAGAATAAAATAGTTTACCATATTTACAACATGGACAAGGGTGCAACAATTTCCTGCTGCTAGCTTGGGTGAAATAGTTCTAGATTGAATTGAAAAAATAGAGTTTTCATTGCCTAGGCTGTCTGCTTCTCATATCCTGAATACAATGCATATTACAGAGGTCATACTGTATGGTTGGTAATTCACAAGAGTTTCAGCTCCCAGAGGGTATGGTTGATGTCTTCTATACAACAATAAACATTGCATGACAGGACACAAATAGTCATATATCTTTCTCAAATTCTTCTCATTGCAGCAACACAATGTATTAGAATCATTCTATATTATTAGTTTAATGAGTCTGTTTCATTCTTAAAGATTATAAGTAGGGATTTAAATGATTCAGCTTTGGCCAGATTTATAGTCTGTTGAAGTCTGCTATGTAGTCTGATGTAGTAGTATGCTATAAATCTGCTATATATTTTAGCCAGTAGAAAGATTAAATTTGAAGAGGTTTAGCAGTTGAAAGCTATCAAGTTTCCCAGTTGCTAGAACTTGAATACATTAGCAGGTAACTAATTTATTGCACTGGCAGTAGAATTGACTTTCCACAACCTTTGAATTCAAACTATATATAACATCAATTCATTCGTCTTTGACCTTTTTTTTTAACATTCCGTGTATTATGTGCTATGCAAAGTCCACAACATTTGTTACACACATTTTACATGGAACATTCCCAAAGTGATTTAGGTGAGAATCAAACCCGCATCCTCCAGTAACTAATCTAACTATTATACCACTGCTTCACCAAGAGAAAATGATTCATATTTTAATTTTCTTTATGCAATCCTCTTGTAGTAGTTTTGCAGTACCCACTGCTGTTTGGAAATATAATTTTACCTATCTAGTGCATACTCAGTGGTCTAGTGGTATATCATGGTAGCCAGATCATACCCATGGAGGTTGTAACAATTCCCATTGGTTTATCATGGTAGCCAGATCATACCCATGGAGGTTGTAACAATTCCCATTGGTTTATCATGGTAGCCAGATCATACCCATGGAGGTTGTAACAATTCCCATTGGTTTATCATGGTAGCCAGATCATACCCATGGAGGTTGTAACAATTCCCATTGGTTTATCATGGTAGCCAGATCATACCCATGGAGGTTGTAACAATTCCCATTGGTTTATCATGGTAGCCAGATCATACCCATGGAGGTTGTAACAATTCCCCTCTTGTAGTAGTTTTGCAGTACCCACTGCTGTTTGGAAATATAATTTAACCTATCTAGTGCATACTCAGTGGTCTAGTGGTATATCATGGTACCCAGATCATACCCATGGAGGTTGTAACAATTCCCATTGGTTTATCATGGTAGCCAGATCATACCCATGGAGGTTGTAACAATTCCCATTGGTTTATCATGGTAGCCAGATCATACCCATGGAGGTTGTATTCCCATTGGTTTATCATGGTAGCCAGATCATACCCATGGAGGTTGTAACAATTCCCATTGGTTTATCATGGTACCCAGATCATACCTAAGGAGGTTGTAACAATTCCCATTGGTTTATCATGGTACCCAGATCATACCCATGGAGGTTGTAACAATTCCCATTGGTTTGGTTTGCAATGAATTTGTTGTGAAGATGATGGCACTACAGTAGCTGCTGTGTGGTAGCATTTGTTTTGTTAAATAACTTCCTATTATCAGTGTTATGAGAGTAAAAAAAAAATTCTCCCATTCCCTTGTTACATTTGTTTGCATAGCTTAATGCAGTTGTCTGGTAGTTAAAAACATTGATTGTCTTCTTGAGTTACTTGTTTTAGATTTCTTTGCACCATGGAACAAATATTGATTTTATAAAATTATTTCTGATAAATCTAATAGATAAATGATCTCAATTTGTTTTTTTATTTCTTTTCTCATTCATTGGGACATGATTTGGATTTGATAATGATTATAATATTTCTTGCTGCTTCTTATTGAGTTGAAGAATTTTATTGGAATTCCAACATGTAAAATATGATATATCGTTGGCCTTCTCTAAATCATACATTTGACCATGGGCTGTGGTTTAATATTTTGGTGATTGAACCTGAGTATAAAGGTTATAATTTAGATAAGGCCCCCTTGTGTTCCTCTTCATAACAAGATGGCTAAAACCTAAACTCTTAGACCAATGGTGGCACCAATTTACAAAAAACCATATTTACTTCTACTTCTGGATATGAACCTTGATTTTTTAAATTGCAAACAGTGATGTAAGAGCCTTTGAGGCCCCTGTCTAAGGCTTCCTCAGGCCTGTGGGATGAGGGGGCTGGGTTCATGTAGAGCATAAGTGGGGTACGAAGGTACGCTTTAGATGTTTTAAGGGCATGCTCTTAGAAAAGCCCTGCTCTGTTGATGTGGGGAAAAAATAATATTTATCCCCGGCCCCTTAAGTTCTTGGCCCCTGCTTTTAACCAGTGACAGCCATAGGCTACTGTAGCCTGTTAAACCACTAATTGCACATGCATATTGATTCAATGGTGGTCTTAATGTCAGATTTCCCCTCTCTGTTGTTGCTACAGAAATAAACATATTCTTTCTCCATCTCACTTTCCTGTATTGTTCCTGTCATACCATCTTGAAGTAGGATTACCAAAGTATTGGAAATGGTTTGAAGAATTATAATATGTACACATGTCAAGGACTTTTTCCAACAAATTTCTACAGGTACAACAGTGATAATGGGATGCTATCTTTTCAGATTTTAATAGCACTTACTATATAGTATTATTGTTTCCTAAATACCATTCAAAGATGTCACCAATTATTATTTTATTAATCCAACTACTAATGATCTAAAAATATCACATGAAAATTTAGAATGCTTAAATATTTTTTATTATTGTAACATTGTTTTTGGAAGATTTGAGATTTTATCTAATTTTTAAGCCTGCAATGTTTATATTTGCATTTGTCATAATGTACTGAATTGTATGCACTCACATACAGTAATGAGTAGATTGCAACTCATTTTCATAGCTGAATTAATTTACTATCATAATCTCCAGGGAGTAATGTTTTAACTCTGCATTATTTATTATTATTTTCTATACGAATACCAGGCTGGTAAATCTCCAAGATTTTTTGATTAACCAAATCACATTTTTCACTAGTAATTCAAACTTATATGAATATACAAAGTGAATTAAACATCTGGGTCATTGATGTATTGAATAATTATGTGGTGATTAATAGATTTTAAAGATATAATTACTTATGAACATCGTCATTTATTAAATAATTAAATTTATGCTAATTAATTCAGCTTTACAGGGAGGATCATGAAGCAACAAGTTCTCCTTTTGAGTTGAAGGTAGCCAGTGTTCCTGAAGGATGCATGTTGAAATCTGGTCTATGCCATGTAGTTTTGTTTTTGTTTTTGTTTTTTTCTTTGTATTCTCATCATTTCTGTTGGCTGGAATTTATTTTGGTAAAATGTAGGGAGCAGCATGACAATATTGTTAAAGTCTATGTCAACCTTTGCTCCTTTGTTGTTTTTGTTTTCATTGTGAACTTAAGGCCATGCTATTATTTGTTGTAGGGAAATGAATCTTTTGGTTATTCAATGAATTTTGCATATAATAACCTTTTATAATGGTAAGGAAGTTGCATGCATGCACTGCTTGTTTTTGCAGCGAATGTATAACTTGTCAGCTAAAGTATATTTAAAGGTCATCAGTTTTATTTGCATTTCTAGGTATTTAGTGTTTATTAGTAGTCATACATTAATTGAATGCCTTGTAACAATTAACACTTTGTAACACAGCATAATGATGTTACCAACTCACTATATTTTACTGATTAAAAGCATGTATGGAGTGAATTTGTGGCGAAAGCAGCTGGGATCATTTAAAAAGCAAAATTATGGTTGTATGATGCTCTTTGGCAGGGAATGTGCAAACAGTCTGATTCATTGTGGTGGGTACAGGGGTGTAGGCTGGTTAAAGCCTGGGGGAGGGAGGTCAGTGGTGGCACCAGTGGGGGGTCAGGGTGCTTAAGCCCCCCCATCAGTCTGGTGAAGGGCCCCCCCCCCAATCAGCCAAAACTCGTCGGGCAGTCAGACCAAAAAAAACAAAAAATAGGCCTAGATTTCCCATCCTAGCTATTTCCGGCTGTCTAGAGGTCCCATTTTTTAAAAAAATCTCATTTTGGGAGGAGGGGACACCCCTTCTGATACCCACCCCTGGCTCGGGCCTTTATTTGCTTTCCCCTCCCCCTTTTCCCAGCCTATACCCATTGGGTACATATGTAATGTAATTTTTAAAATATTTTCTTCATTTTGGGAACTTCTCTGAAATAAGCCTCCAACCAAGCCTAAAATGTTATCAACTGCTTTCAATGTTTAATTCACAGATTTTTTTTTACTTCTGGATGTTTTTGGTTTTAATGATACAATATTTTCATTTTAAACTATGATGATAATCCATGTTGTTTTACACTTTGTATTTTTTCTCATAATCTTTTGTTTAATTCACAGATTTTTTTTTTTGACTTTTGGATGTTTTTGGTTTTACATGATACAATATTTTCATTTTTAACTGTAGTAATCATTGTTTAAGGAAAAAATAATTAAACAATCGTTGTGGTATGATATGAACATGTAGCTACCATGGAGCGCCTCTTTATGGCTGCTAGGTAGTCTCGGACCACACCCATACGCAGTTCAGCACAATTATGATGCCAGTTATGGGTTATTCTCCTACCTTTACCTTTAAATGATTACATGCTTGTTTTTTGTTGATGCTTTGGCTTTAGGTAGTAGAGGCAGTAAAAGCCATTGTTCATGTATTGAAGAAATCAGCCATTGAAAAGCTGGTACTTGTTGACTGTAACCTAAAACAGTAAGTGAGCATTATGATAATTTCAAGAAATACTCTACCTCCTATCATCATCATCACCATTGTCATCACATGGGGGGGGGGGTTAGGGGCACTCACCTTGACCTCTCGGCACCTGTGTGTTACCAAAATCAAGTAAAATGGGTTGTTTTCCCCTGAACAGGCACATAACATATGTTATGTTTTTAGGGTCTGAAAAATGCTCAAATTCGTAAATTTGATGTCATATTTGCGGAAATTAAGAAAGGGTGTGCGTCGCCGTGTGTGTCAGACAGCGTCTTTATTTAGAATTACTGTTTTGTTATCATATGTTTAGGCCTAGGCCTATACATATTCTAGGAATAACGTGTGTTGGCTGTTATTAAAGGGTAGAGGCCAGAGTGTTAAGAGGTTTTTTAGCCCTTTTGTGTTTAGGGTTACTTTTTACTCTAAAAATACTTACGTAAGGGGATTTTGAAATAGTATGTGAAAAGGGCTGCATTTTCTCTGCATTCCAAAACATGTTTAGGATCTTTTTTGAAGAATGGTCAGACACATGGGTACCCAGATCTAGATTGAGTCTGCAGTGGTCCACCCCCACTCCACAACAACATCCCACCATGAGATTCTAAAAGTTAAGGATTATTTATTCATTATTGTCATAACAGATATATTTATATTATTTTTCATTAAAAACATAAAAAAATTGTTAAATAACTATAAAAATGATAATCTTGTGAATCAATCTATATTAGTGACCTGAACACTGTAGTTGTTTGGAATCTTTTCAGTGAATTTGCACATGGATTGAATACAGCTCTCCTAGCAAACACCAAATGCTCTTTGACCCATCTTGACCTTTCTCAAAATCCAATTGAGGATCGTGGATTACAAGCAATGAGTGATCGCTTAGCTAAGTTACCTGATGGACTCGCAGTTCTAAAGCTTGCAAAAACTGGCATTACAGGCAAAGGTAAGCCTATACTTTATATGTAATGTATTCATTCATTTTTCCACCCACCATATATACAAAATCCTATTCCCAGGTGTTGATACTATGAAGCATGTGTATTGGATTTGATATTTGGATGGGCAGGAAAGGCTTCAGTCCATTTGACAGAGTCGGGAAGAGTGCCTACAGCTATTTTTAGTAGCAGCAGTTCCGATCTAGAAGAATCTATATGTACAGATGATGGAAGGTGCAACAGAACTTATAAAAACAATGCATCTTCTACGTTTGCATGACTTTTGTAGGATGTACGTAGGCACACTCAATTGTCTCACACAACACATGTGAGAGGTTTAACTTACTAGTGTATTGGTAATTGATTTGTGGAAGTACTACCGTTGGTAGAGAAAAGAATTACAACATAATATTAATAAAAATAATAATTTTAATATTTATTAAGCACTCTTACACTGATGGCCTCACACAGCACTATTAGAAAATAGATAATTGAAAAAGATGAGCTTAGAGAGAGCAGTTTTTAACTGCTTCAAGGTTGGTGAATGACAAACTTTACTAAGTAGCTCGTTCAAGAGAGGTAGTGCAGCGGCATAGAAAGCCTTCTGAGAAGTAGAATTGGCCGGATACATACTCCAAAATTCTTTTGCAAAGAACATAACAGTTTAATTGATTTCAAATTTGTGACAAATAGCATTTCTTAATTTGTTTATTAAAAGAAAGTTTCACTCTTCATTCTTCATTTAATAATATAACAAAAATTGTAAACAAAACTAAAACTACATGGAATGTAGGTCTAGAACAAAGTTTAAAGCAGATTTTGATTTAAAAAGCAGGGGCATCGGACACAGAAGTGAAATGGGAATACTGCTGTTATTAGAAAATAGATTTATTATGTATGCCTCCCATCACAGTCAAGCGACATTACTAGCGAACTCCCCACCTGCCAATGACCATTTCAAATGAAAATGAAATTTTATTTTTGGCCAGATAGCATACCTGATGCAACAAAAAATGGAAATTTCAGAAAAAAAAAGTTTTTCTCCTACCTTGAAATCTAAAAAAAAAGAAGATATATTTCTTCTTAATTATATTAGTTTAAAGCACCATCCCATTATTACACTGTTTACATTCAACAATAAAATTTAATCTTTCTCCTCTGTCTAGTCGCTTTTGATAAAACCATTTGCTAAATATTAAAGAAAACAAAATTTTATTTTAATTTTATTCTGCCCTCTGAAGATCTTAAAAAAAATAAGTTTGCATAACAAGGTATGAAAAATTCTCACCTTATAATATGACAAATTAATCTTGATAGTGTCAATATAACTTTCAGAGTGAGGCGTGAAGAATGAAGCCAAGAGAAAAAAGAGATTGGATGCCAAACATCTTAACCACCAAGCACTTTTGATTGTATCCATTACCTCATTCTCTCTGGATTTGTAACCGAGATTTAAAAGGGAGACCTGTCACAACATATTACAAAAAAATGTACACAAATATTTGCTAAATTATTAAACATTTAGCAATAAAACTAGAAGCATATGGTTTCAGACTTCAAGTGGATTTTGAGAAGGCAACAGGAGTCCTTTGAGAAGGCAACAGGATACTGACCTACTTATAAACATTGATTCAATGTGCTTTTAATGCTCATCTATTAATGTTTCATTTTTTTCTGCTAATGTTTTTGTTCATAGGTGCTTCCTTTATGTTCAAAACATTCTACGAATGTGAACGAATGGCAAATGTACTCCAAGTGCTGGATGTTTCCCACGCATCATTCAAGGAACATGATTTGACAGTAAGAAAAAATTAAATTCTTTTAAGTGTGCTCAAGTAACCTTCCAACTGGATCAATCAATCAATCAATCATTTATTAGAACATACACCTTTAGATCGGTGGCACTCAATCATTTGGTGCGTTCAAAGTGAATTAAAATTCTTAGCTACAATTACAAAAAAAAAAAAAATTACGAAACAAAACAAGGGAATCTTAAGTAAAAATGAAATAAACACAAGTGAGTAGTGCTGCTGATAAGGCAAGTAGCTCCCCGAAAAACATGACAAGGAACTTCAACCTGCCTTGCTTGTCACAAATTTCCAAGGGCCACCTGTACCATCAACAAACTCAACAATAATGTTAAGGCAAACAAAATTAATTAGTTACAAAAAAAAAAGGAAAAGACAGTAATACAGATACTTAATCTACGATAAAGTTTGCAAGTGCTTCAATTCAGATCTTTTTCTCCACGCTCGTTTTCCATAACTTTTACAAAATTCATCAAAGTATTTCTCTACAAGGCCAGCTGATGTTCAGGGCCCTCTATTAAAAATATAAAACACATCAGAAAAAATTATTTGAATAATAATTAGATAAATACAATAGGTACAAAATAACAAAAGCAAACAAAGAATATCCATAAATGTATAGGAAAAAATATAAATATAATAAATGAATAATACAATTTTATTTTAAAAAAAAAATTTTAAAAATGTAAAACATTTAGCGTTAGTGCGGGTTATTCCAATGTGGTTTAAAAAAAATAGGAGCTGAAAAGTCGTTTGATTTTGTAAGGTTTGATAGCATCATCAGTAGTGTCAATAGAAAATATAAGGTTTCAAGGGGATAAAATAATACAGGTTGAGTGAGGACAATGGTTGCTATGTTTATGCATTCTGAAAGATTATTTACATGTTGTTCTTTTCCTGTAAAGAATATTTTGTTTTATTAGTGCACTAACTTGTGTCTATTATGAAAACAAGTTATTCTATCATGAAGGAAACCTTCCATTCTTTCACTGTGTATCTTGGGTGTAGGCCAATCATTGTATATAAAGAAACTATTTAAAACTAAAGTATAGTTGTGATGAAAATAGGAACATAGCTTGTAAACTAATTTGCCTATAGGCTTATGTTTTTAAATACCTGTAGTTGTTTAAAAAAGAGAGAATTATATATAAAAAAATTGTTTTTGTTGTTGGTTTGCTTGCGAAGAGGACATATTGTATAACAATTCTCAAGTTACTTAGAGGACTCCAGACCATATACTCAGCCTGAAGAAAACATTGTTGTGTCATTCCTGATAATGTTCGAATAAAGAACGAAATATTAGTCATGGCTTCTCTTAGTCTTTTTGGAGTCTGCATGATATTATATTGGTGTGTTTCCAAGCTAGAAAAATATCTTTATGAAAAGCCTCAAGTACCAAACATTATCTGTACACTTTATAGCACAACAGTGATTATAAGAGGAGGAAAAATCAACTTAAAAAAAACAAAATGTATGTGTGAGGCTTTTGACAGCCAATCAAGAATTAGCATATTTTCTATCCTTCTAGACTTTAATCTATGTTTGTCCCTTACTATTGATGTTATATTGTTTATGCTCTTGGCATTTACATAATTGGATAAGACAAATACAGTAAATATATTTGATTAAATAAATTAAACTTTGTTTTTAATAGGATTTGAAGAGTTTTCTGGCTCGTCCGAATGCTTTAACACACTTGGACTTGTCTTTCACTGGCTTAGCCCTTGATGAAATCTTTAATGCACTTGTTCGAGGATGTCTTCTGAAATTATCCCACCTGAACTTGAGTGGTAACACTTTTACAACAAAGTACGTGGTATAACTGTTAACTGCTGTATATTGAGAATCTCAATATACTGTATGATTGTATATATGATCATATATATTTTTGTACTCTTTGCATATAATATTTTTGTAATTCAATTATATAATGTTGCCTATTTTAATATTATATTTTATCATCTTTTTATTTAAAAAACATTGAACAAATGTAAATGCACTATATATATAAATATAATCATTATTTGTTTTGAATTTCCTTTTATATGGAACCAAAATTGCCTACTTTAAATGAACCGATGAAGTTTTTCAATCATAATAATAATTATTATTATTATTTAATCATTATATTTTGAATTTCTTCTTTCCCAGGAAAGCAAAACCAGCGGCTATTCCTCAGTCTATCAAGAACTTCTTCGCGTCAGCAATGGAACTAAAGGTTGTTGGACTTGCAGGAAACAAGCTGCCACCAGAGGTTGTCAAGTAAGTGTTTTCTTGTAGAAGGTATCTAGGGGGTGAATTGAAAATTATCAAATAAAAAAAATCATGCTCAAGAAGTTAACAATCACAATCACTTAATGTTGCAAGGTAGCTCCCCCTAACGTAATCAACTCACCATTTCACCTTCAGGCCCCCTCCCAATTTCAAGAGTTCTAGATATGTCACTGAAAAAAATGTGATGTGCACTATTGATTTTGTGTATCAGTCTTGTTACGTAATATATGTGGCAAAGACCAGCCAAACCAGTCACTTGTCGCAAATCCTGTTTTGGAGATAGTGGCCAAAACATGCTGGAATGTCAAAATTTTGAAAATCTATTTTATTGCACTAAACTAACCTTTATATATCTATACATCATGTTATGCTGTTATTTTCCTCGTTTTCAATGTTAAAATAACAATTTTTAACTATTTGATGATGGTTTCTGCCTAAGAAATGCCAAAAAGCGTAAACTTTGAAGGCTGATTTCCAAAATATTGTTCTTCAAACAGCTGTATGTTTAAACTCCTGTAGCTTCATAATGAAATGGGTTTTTTTACCATTTTATAGCTCTCATTTTACTTTTTAATCCAGTATTAATAACGAAAAATTGTTTTTTGTGACAAGTGACTGGTTTGGCTTGTCTTTGCCACATATATAAATGATAAATGCTAATGAATAACTATTTCATAACTTCTGATTTTCAGGGAGGTTATATTAGCAATTAGTATGAACAAGAATATTACAGATATTGAACTGGATTTAAGCAGTAATGAAGTAAGTTTGCCATGGTGATGTCTAAGAAAAATACATTGTTAAAGGGTATTGGTTAAAAGGGCCATGTATTTCATTAAAATCCCAGAGAAACATAACAATTTACCATCACACTAATTCTGCAACTATTAATTTTTTGACTTCATAAAGATGTGTGCAAGTTACTAACCTATCAATGTAATGTGTATAAAATTAATCTCCAAAAACAAGACAAATGAGAGATAACAAAGAATAAGTCATATTGCTTTTAATGTGGGCAGTTGAGCCTGAAATTGCGCACCTTCACGCAAAGACATTACATGATGAAACCATTTGAATTGTGGTGAAAAAAAATGTCTATTAAAGCAAATGTTGGGTCTACACTAACGTTTTGGAAGCAGAGTATGTGGGGAAAATCCTTTATGCTCATGTGACGTCTAGAGACCCTATTTATTTGCACTATATAGGTGCTTCTTATCCATCGTTCTTCATACATTTTATTCATACTAATATTTCTCAATCCAATTTTTAATTGAAAGTTAAATAACATACAAAGAAACAGTATAAACACAGATATTTTGTATTTTTCTTTTGGATTTTTTTTGTATTGTTTTCTTATATATTTTCTAAAATAATGCTCTGAGGTAGATGGTACTACATCAAGTACACGTGGTGTACTGAAACTATATAATAATTATTATCACATTATATCATTAATATTGTTATATTTTCTTTGCAGCTAAAAGCAGCAGGATGCCTGATGCTTGAGAGTGTGATAGCTTGTGTTGGGAACATCCGATCACTAGATATTAGTGACAATGACATCAATGACGGCCTAGCTAGCTTCTTAGACTGGGTTTGTGAAAATAAAACCCTTAGAGTTCTGAATGTCTCCAAGAATCTAATCAGAGCCAAGTAAGTTTTGAATTATTAAATCAATTTCCGATGTTAAACTTTGAAAATTTTGAATTGCTAAATGATGCAAGAAGTAGCTCTTAAGTGTTGTAGAATGCTGAATTTGATATGTTCAAGACTCAGAATACCAGGAACTATAATAACAAATTATACAAATGAACTATCCTAAACATGTTACATTTTAAACCCCCTATAGTTTCCTTATATACAGCACTCTAAAAATGCCCTGTAGTAATTATTTGTTCATTATTATTGTATTATCAGGGGTTCCATTAAGGTGTTTAAAGTAGTAGCAGAATGAGTAAGAGTTACAGGAGAGATTCTGGGTAGAGGGGAAATGCCCCGAAGCCAAAGCATGTTGATGCATTTCAAAGGCTGAGATTGGATCTCCAGGGATTCTTTAACCACATCACAACTTGTACAACATAAAATCTGTAACTAAAGTAAATCAGACAATATAATAAATAAGAAATGGATAAAAAGTCGAAGTTGCCGACTGCTACTAATGAAACCCCTGAATTATTGTATTTTTCTATAATATTTTTGTCACAATTTGCTTTTGTATTATTGCTGTTACTTATCTCTTGACCACAGATCCCTTGATAAAGTGATGGACGCATTTGTAAAGCTGATTCAAGAGGAAGAACTAGTAAGTTGTAAACAAGTGCCGTAGTTCCTTGGGTATAAGCCCACCCACCCGCTTATTTATTCCCAATTTTACATATCAGCCTTGCCTCAGGCAAACTCCCAGCGTATGGTTTTGAATGAGTACCTTAGCTGACTTCTACAAATACTCTAAAATAAATAAAGTATTGGCTTTAAATAAGGCATGCAGTGCTGAACAAAATTCCCTCCCCACCCCAAAAAAAAAAAAAAAATAATAATTTCGCCCAGGGGGGGGGGGGGTGGTCTTATACCTGAGGAAATATGATAATAATAATTTCAAAAGACTAATATCTAATTTTTAGTTTCTTCAAAAAAGGCTCTGTGTACATTGTTTTTTTTTAATTTGTCATATGTTAATTTTCCAAATAATATGTTAATGTTATTATTTTAGCAGTATCATCTTCATAAGTTTATATGATGTTAAACATTGATTTACAAGTTCGTATATGAAAACAAAATATAATGTGAAAGAATATATAAATAGAATATATATTTAGCATACCACAGTTGAGTAACCAAATGGTAGTCTGAGGGTCTTGGGTTCCAATCCTATATGGAGACAATAGGTTTGTTTGCAAAAAAATTTCTTATGAAAAATATCAAGGAATATATACATTCATTTTTTTAAAAATTCCTTTTTTCTTTTATACTGGGAAACCTGTTCAGTAGGAAATCTGTGGTTCTACCACAAAGCCTAGTGCAAAAAAGACAATATTCACATTTTTAAAAAAAAGCAACATTTGCTGACTTTCTTTTTATTTTTCTCCCATCTATGCCTTACTGTAGCCTTTGGAAAACTTATCAATGGCCGACTGTCACCTGAACTATGAAACCATTGTTATCATTAATGCTCTTGGAAGTAACACATCACTCACCAGTATCGACTTCAGGTATGTGTTTCCTGAAATATTATCTTACTTTCCATTCATTTTTATGAATCTGCAGGTTGGCATGAAGATATGTTGTTATACTTCCTAAGTTATAAGCCTACCCACCTTGAAAACAAAATTTGGTTGACTTTGAGTATGTACTTACACACAAGGATCAGCAAAAATGTAAACTTGTAGTAGTTGTGTGATTGTGAGTGTAAAGTCGACATGAGCACTACTGGCAACTAGTGAGGTCAGTTGAATCAAGTCGTATGTGTGACATAAGTTTAGCTTATTAAATATCTTTTATATTTTTTTACAGTGGAAACAATATGCGAGACCTTGGTGCCAAGATGCTAGCCAAAGCATTAATGATCAACTCTAAGCTAGAATTTGTGAACTGTGATCGCAACAACATCACTGCTGATGGGTACAGAGAAATTGCCAATGCTCTAGAAAGGTAAAAATAAAGTCAAAAACCATGTATTAATATGATATATAATATTAGTTGTTGGTATTGTAATGTTATTACCAGGTGGTTTTTCATGTCCACTGGTTCACATTCAAAACAAAGGTTTTTTTTTTTTCATTTAAAGGTAATGATTATTCTGTTGTTGTTAACTTTTATGTAGAAATTACACTTTGAAGGAATTCCCAATGCCAGTACATGATATCCATAATAATTCACGTCAGGATTGCAGCAAATTAGAAGCCCCGCTGCATAGAATACAACAACTCATTCAGCGTAACCACAGTTCACGCAAGTTTATTGATGATCAAGCTTTCCGTCTCCAACAAGGCTTCCTCTACACCACAGCTCACCAGGTCAAGTCTATTTTGTTTTTCCATCCTTTATTAATTTCTCTGCCTTCATTTGTTTAACGAACAACTGCAGATTTAATACCTTGTATTTGTTGAATATTTAAAGAGGCCCTGTCATTGGATTTATTCGATGTAAGCACCAGGGATAGCCCCATAAGTCTTAAAAGACTTAGTTCCAGTGATGTCTTTCTCATGGTAATTTGGTAGTACACTGGGAGACAATCCCTCACAAGAGTGTACTGTATTCTTTATCATGCAATGGCAATTTTTCACATGGTACCAATGACTGACACATCTTTTGATCATTTTAAAAATATATATCAAAAATATGAGAAATAAATAAGAGATTGCAAAAAATATGTTTTAATTTTTGTTGGCAGATGGTTGACAAGATGGTGGTGCAGATTCAGGACAAGGCAATGGAACTGGAAAGCCAGGACTCGGACGTTGTTAAATTGTTTGTAGAGGAGGGAGAGAAATACATCAAGGACGCTGACAATTCAAAGAAGGTGAACAAAGTCTTTACCCACAATCCTTTGATTTTACAGCTTAATAACTAAACTATCCAGCACTTATATCTTGTATATCAAGAATAAGACCTTTTTTGGCTGTAGAATTTATTACCCCTTGTCTGTAATCAAAGAGCTATGCGACCAATGTACTCAATCAGGAATGTCGTTGTGCAGGACTGAGGTGGGCGGAACTGCCCAGCCTTGACATCTTGCACCCGTCTTAAAAGCCATTTATAAAGTCTTCCACCCAGCCTCATACAAACCCTCCTGCCCACCCTTCAAAATCATGCACAAACACAAGTTTTTGCCCAATAATCAAGTTATGATAATGCGTCAATCAGTCAGAATGTTGTTCGCCAAGGTGCTTGCTTCACATCCCTAATTACCGAAATCGATCCTTTTGGCTCTATAAACAGCAAGAATTCCAGTGCTTGATGGGCTTCGCTCCCTTCTGAACCCATCCCCCATTCGGTCCTTCAGCTCTTTGCTCGGTTGGCGCTTCACGCCAAAGTACACACATGTTCATGCCGAACCCACCCCAAAAATTCTAACATCCACCCTCAGTTTTCAATAGCTACATCCCTGCTCAATATCAATTATTGTGTCCTGTATAAAGTGATCATATACCTAGAATAACGTTTGGTTTTGTGTAGGGTAAAAAAATTTGTAAAACAGGGCCATTGTTTTACTGTAAAATAATGACATCCATCCCCAGTAAAATAATAATACTAACTCTATCTCTGTTATTTTCTATTAAGTTAACATAATGAAGCTATGCTGTTGTAAAATGAGGTGAATTTAGGCAAAAATACAAATCATTGTCTATTCAAATATTGTTCCATAGTCACTATTTTAATAAATATCTTATCTAACACCAGAAATCACTTCCACTCCAAGAGAAGTATTCCATCTCATGCAGCTGTCTGATATATATACATGCATACACACACACACACACACACACACACAGTATTTTCACCAAATTTGAAATGAAAATTTTAGATAACCTGGCAACCACCACTGGAGGACTTCCAGAGCTCTAGCATTTCACTCTACGTAGTTACCATAATTAAATGATAAAAACTAAATTAATAATGGGCACAAATATTTTAAAACAAAAACATAACAAAATTTTTACATTAAAAACAAAGCTAAGTCTTAAAAAGATATTTCAATGTTTCCATATACATTAATTAACATGATCGTATGTGTTGTCTACTGCTGCTATGGCAAAGGTCTAGCGGCGCGATCCACTGTGCGGTGCTCTATTTGTAACTAGCCAGTTGCTCAGGCTACGATGCGGGAAGTCCCCCAGTATAAGTGAGACATTGGTGGCACTGTTTCAAAATAGATTTGGTAAAATGGTGTATATTTCAAGGACAAAAGTAATGTGACCAGAAACCTTTAAAATTGCATTGCATACTTCCTTTCAAGCTTCACTTTCACTTTGAGAATTTTATTGTTTTTATTTTATATAAGTCAGCAGTTGCACAAACTTTTTTTTTAGCCATCACTGTATGCCATAAATCTCATTTTATCATTTAGATAATAATCTTTAGTTTTATTGGTAACAATGCATGTGAAAATATATAAGACATATATAAGTCTTTTTCAAGAAAGATTCAATGCATCTTATACATATTTTGTTTAATTCTTTATAATCAGTTGCTGGCAATGATGCATGATGTAGCCTTAAAATCCAGTCTTGTGACTGTTGAATCAAAGCTCAAGTCTCTAGCCTCCGAGGTGCAACAGACGGTTCAAAGTAAACTCAAAGTGAGTAACGATTTCTGGTAAATAAAATAAAGCAAACAAAATTGACCTGCTGTAGAATTGAACCTGTACTGTAACTTCACAGTACCTTTATGTTACTTTGCCAACCAAACTAGCTCAAAAGCAGAACCTACTAGAATTGGATGTAGTGTGTGACACATGACTGCAATATTATGCATATTCATAAAGCTTGCTTCCATACAATCGCTACACAGGTAGCCAGCAGCTTTTGGTGATGCTGATTGGTCGGTCAAATTTGGAAGCCTTCCCTAATTTGTGTGGGACTGCTACACAGTACAGCGATTGCGCTGAAAACACTGCAGTGACAGTGTAGCCGTTTTAAGGAAACCAGGCTTAACTTTAATCCCATATTTTCTTTCAAATCAAATTTTGTATGCCCAAAAATTTGCCTTAATTAGGAAGTCAAACAATCAAATGCATACTTTGTAATTCTTATCAGTCTCTATTGGTCAAACATTTTAGAACCTGCTATTTTGTATTCTATTTTTCTGCTTCATTTTTTGATGATTTAATGAATTAAAGAGATAGACAGTAAAATTAAAATGTTTTCCATTCTATCAAACATTTATTTCCTTACAACTGAGTTAAAGTATGAAAATAAATGTGGATTTGCAATTGGAAAATGGCTATGCACGTATAATTTGACTGTGTATCGAGCATGTTACATCATAATATTTTAAGTATGTTAAAGTCTGTTTGCCTGTATATAGAGGGCTTATGTAGATTCCTTAAAACTATACAGTTGTTTCTGGAATGTAATAATAAAGTTAATTAACTAGAATATAAGTCTGCTTTGAAAATATGCTTGAAATTAAAATGGTACAATTTTATAACCCATAAAAATTACGGTCTTCAAGTAAGCTGAAAAATTCTAATGATATTGCACATAAAAAGTACAGAAAGAGGGAAAAAGGAGGTATAGGTCGAAACATGAAGAGAGTAGCTTAGCTCAGTCAGCTAAACTTGTGGTAGCCACAGCGTGTGCACTGAACCATAAAGATCTCTTGGTTCTCTGGTTCAATTCCTATCCCTGCTCTACTTGTATTTCAGCTAGAGGGCTGAAATGCAAGTTACTATACAGCATCATCTTTTGGATGAGTCGCATGTGCATTATAGCCCATGTGCATGTTAAAGAACACAAAAATGCAGACTCTCTAGAGTAGGGGATTGTCTCCCGGTGAACTGCACAATTCACCATCAGAAGGACCCCACTGGAAAATAAGTCTTAGGACTCTAAAAATACCCATCTATTTTTTTGGGCATTTCGGCCAGACTTTACTAACTGGACCCTGGGTGAGGAGCTTTTTTTTTTAACCTGTGCCAATATTAAAACTGTATAGTAGTTAGTTGCACTTTTGAATTCCCCTCTGCCACATGACTTACCCATTTCATCCACACCGTTACATCTTTGTGTTTGTATATGGGTGGAATGTAGTGATTTAATAGATACTGTACTATGGAAAGTAAAACTTTGTTTTAAAATCTCAAGTTCCTAATGTTTGTTGTGCAGCTCGGGCAGGACTTAAGATTGGTAGTATTTGGAAACACTTTGACAACAAAAGGACCGAGAGACTAGTGCATGCCTACATAACATCAAGACTGGATTCGTGCAACTCAATGTTGTACGGGCTACCAAAATCTAAAAATTGCAAAATTACAGTTAATTCAGAACACTGCAGCACGCATATTTACTGGGACTAAGGCTTTTGCCAATATCACTCCAATCCTTAAAGACCTCCACTTGCTTCCTGTCCACCAAAGAATTAATTTCAATATTGACCACGTACAAGAGCCTTATTACAACTTCACCATTCTACATTGTGGAGCTCATCACACCATTGTCTTCCTAGGCAATTAAGATCCTCTACACAGAAGAAACTTAACATCTCAAAACTGGCTACTATTTTCTATGGCAATAGATCATTCATCTTTTCTGCTGCTCGTCTTTGGAATAATCTTCCACAAGCTATTAAACACACAGAGTCAATTGACATTTTAAAAAACGTCTTAAGCATCATCCTTTGACGAATTACTTTGCTCCTCTTGCTTAAACTCAGAAACTTATTGAATCTGTTATATTTTTCCTCAAATTTCACTCTGCACTTTTTTGTTGGTAGGATAGGATAGTCAGATTCCACTTTCACTCGAACTCCTGTGAGTTCTGTTCCAGCGAGCTCTCAATTGACATGTCGACCAGGACGCGAAGCTCTGCCCACAAAGTCACAAAAACCTTACTAGACTTACCGAGTTGGTGAAGATTTTCTTTGCTATCAACCTTCTTTAAGAAAGAGAATTCAGGGTAGGCGGTATGCACATGAATCATATATTCATAGTGTTAATCTATTTCATGGAACATGGCGGGGAAATTGTTGTAAAAGCCTTTGTATTTTGCTCCCAAAGGAAGAGGGAAAAGCCGCATTCAGTCAACCTTGTCGGCAAAGGTCAAGTCACTGATGCGCACTACTCGTGTAAATCTGGGTATCTATAACTAAGCACAGACATGCCGGGTGGAATTATTTAGGTAGCGGAGTCAACACCTGTAATTATTCAAAACCAAGCTGCTGTTCAACTCAATTAAATTATTAATATTTAAAGGAACATCAGAATGAATAAATTTGAAAATATAAAAATATTAATCTTGTAGGTTCAAGGTCCAATTTATTCAGTCGTATACAAAAATACATGAAATGTGGCTTCCTGGGAAGCTGCATTTCATTTATTTTTGTATACGACTGAATAAATTGAACCTTGACCTACAAGATTAATATTCTTATATTTTGTAGCAGATTTTTATATTTTTGTAGTAGATCAGATATGTACAGTACCTGATTGCAATATCTTCTGTGTAAATTTACAAATTGGCAAAAAGAATAATGTTTTGAACATTAAATTCCACAAACTAAATAGCCAAAATCAAGATTATATTCTTTAATTTGGTTTTGTTCATTTTGTGATAGATTTGGCTTAATGTGTTTTTATTTACTAATTTTAATATTGTGGCTGCATTTTCAATCCTTCTTTACAAGTATTCAAAAAGAAGAATTTTCTATTTTATCTACAGATTAGTGATGCTTTGATATACCTGTCTCTTATACACATCTAGATGTGTATAAGAGACAGAGCTCAGTCAGCTAAACCTACTTGGATTAATATGTCTGTGAGAAAATCCTTAAGGAGTAAGTAAATGACCAATCTGGTCTGGTGTATTGAGTAGTGTTTCAATATGAAACAGTTGTGGGTGTGAAGGATGCAATACAGAGTATATTCACATGGTGTACATACACGATTTAGTCATCAAGTTCATAAGGCTACTATTCTTATGCCTTGTACTATCCTTCTTCTTCAGTTAAGTTGTCGGCTTCATCTTGTTGAAGATTTTGCAAATGTTAAGTGTGCTCATAAGCAAGCAATCAACTTTTTGAACACTGTATTTTCTTCCCCACTCTTTAACCCACCTCTCCCATCCCCCCTCCCCAAAAAATGTTTAGTTCATACTTAGTTGTATGATATCCTTATACTGTATGCTCTTATTTGGAAATTTGTAGGAAACTTTAAACAGCATGTTGGATTGTGCCGAAGAACAGTGTGAGACGGTGATGGAAAAGCCAGAAATCAAGTCAGAGTTGCTATCGGCTGTGGAAGAACGTGCAGTTCTACCCGATCGCTTTATGCAAGATGTCTTAGACCAAGCCGCGGCTGATATCAGCAACAAAATCAGGTATGTTATCTGTTATGATTTATCTGTGGTGACTGATTGTTACGTGTTTATGCTGCCAGGCTTTGGAATGAATGTAACAACATATTTTGAAAGTTAATTTGTAATTCATTGAAGTTCATTCCACATTTTAGGAAGTTCGTTCTACATGTTTGTGTTATCTGAACAGCATCATTTTCAGCAAGAGAAGCTTGATGCTCAAAATTAAACTTTCTTAGGCGACACTTTTTTATTCCTTGTTTTGCAAAATTATATTTTTTAAGATCGTCAGTGGAGGGTGGAAAAAAAAATAACATTATGTTTTCTTATTTAACAAATAGTTTCAGCAGAAACATCCAGACGGAGGGGAAAATAAAAATAAAATTTTATTGTTGAATGTAAACAGTGTATAATGGAATGGTAAAATGCTTTAACTTTATATAGTTAGGAAGGAATATACATGTATTATTTTTGCAGATTTCAAGGCAGTGCTGTGCGTAATGAAAAGAAAGGAAAACTTTAAATAATTTTTTTCTGAAATTTGAATTTTTTGTGACAGCGGGTGCACTAATTGCCCAAAAATAATAATTTATTTTTATTTGAAATCATCATTATTGGCAGGTGGAAGGTTTGCTAAACAAGGTATATAAATAATCTTGCCTTATCTTAGGGGTAATCAAATGTTTGTGAGTAATATAGTAATATGGACTTTCACCCTCTAGCACCATGGAAAATATTGCTCAATTAAGCCCTTAGACAGTAAGTAAGCAAGAATATATTGGTTTATTTTATGTTGCTAATGCTTGTTTCTATTTGTCCACAGTGAGGTTCATTTAGCGATGGCTGCTCAAATCTCGGACACTGTGGTTGGTGATATTCTTGCAAATTTGGAAGATTGTTTCAAAAACCTTGTAAGTTACAGTATGTCAGAGACATTATAGAATCTTCATGCAATTCAAATTGTTTGCTTAATATTGAAAATATAGATGTGGAATCAGTCATTCTATATATATGGCATCATTGTACAGTCACTACTCCTATACGATACTGTATAATTATATATGCATCTCATCCAATTTGTACTTCTGGGTAAAGAAAGACAAACAGAGCTAAAGTACTTTGCCCATGGGACAAAAAAATGAACAGCAAGGGATTTGAACCTCTGACTTCAAGGATTCTGAACCTTAGCCACAACCAATCACTTCCGCTTACCTCTATAAACCAACAATTGTCTTTGTACACCATGACAAAATATTAGAACTGTCCTTTAGTATAGTATATCATTGCCCATCATAATTTGTTGTTATCCTTATTAGTGGTCAATCAATTAAACAACCAATTAATTATTCTTATTTCATACATTGTATCTATGCTAAGCACATAGTACAAAACCATAATTAATTAGAAATATTTGATACTATTCCAATGCTCATAATATCATTTAGTTATTGTTGTCATTTAATTAATTGAAATAAAATATAATTTACTTTACTTCCAAGCTTTCATTACTATTCCCAGCAACTTCTTCAGGGAAACAGATCCATATGTCACATGATCATTCAAGCATGAATTTGAATTTGACCATGTGACAACACCTCCTCCAGTACTGCTGGTAGCTCATATCCACCATCACGGGTGAGGGTGGGGTGACTGGACCGAATTTCCATAGAATCTTGTCTTCCTTGGCCAATACCTCTTTTCTCGGTAGATAACTGTTGTATTCTTCTAAGTGATACTATGGTTAGTTGCTTTAATATGTTGCCCTACTGCATTGAGTGTTTTTCCTGCGGTTTTCGCATGTTCAGAGAATCTTGATTCCAATATCTTGCAGTTTCACCCACATATTTTTCACCACATGAACAGTCAATCTGATAGTGCCACATGTATAGTGGATTAGGGTCCTTAGGATGGACCAGCATGGATCTTAATGTATTGAATGATTTGTAGTAGGAGTTTATGCCAAGTTTTTGAAAAATTAATTCCAATTACAACAATAACAAATTGATAATAATTAATGAGATGATAAGAGATGTTTGTTTCAGAAACAGAAAGAGCTGTATACAATTAATATGTTTGTGGACATAAATATGTAAAATATTATAAGCAACAGTTTACAAATATCATGTGTTACATCTAGTTATCACATGATAATAAGATAAAAATCAATGTGTTTCAATTTAAAATGTGCATCTACATGACTTAACAATGTAAATATTTAAAGGTGAATTTAGTCAATATAATAATTTTGTTATGTACATTGAATCAACCAGTTAAATTTTTCACAGTAACTTGATTTTGTTTCCTCATTTACTCTGATTATATATGAAACAACCATAGTAATTGTTTCAGTTTTTGTTGACTGTTATCATATGAGGAAGTATGAAAGTAGTATTTGTGCCACGATCACATACTAATCCACTCCATGTTTCAATATTGTGGAATATACAAGCATCTGTGCAATTGAGTTGAGTACCTCTTTGTAAGATCGAAAAATGAAAAGGATGAGAAGAGTTGCAGGGACATTTAATGTCCGCACTATTTACTCCAGAACCAGACGAATTATTGGACATGCTGTGTCCACTTTGGCTCTTCCCTGGAACCAAGTACGATGTATTCTTTTTGGGATGCTTAGAATCATTATTAGGCTTGCCACCGGAATCAAGGTGGATGTTATGCTTTGCTTCTTGTTCATTCTAGATTTACTGCAGGTGTAAATTCCCTTTTGTAAGGATTAGGTAGGATACATATTCATTTGTAGGCCCTGATTTTAGTATGATTTCACATGACACATGCTAATCCTAGGTTTTTACTCAACCTAAAGAGAAGGAGGAAGTAAGTGTTTATAGGTAGAAATACTTGTCTAGACAACCATTAACTGTTTCATGTTGAGTGTAATGTTTTAATTATTATTAAATTTTACCAAGTTAATTTTTAACTTTACAAAAGTACTTATACCGTATTTATACTTGATGAGTGTTAATTTGAGCATCTTTAAAAGCAAAGAATTTTGTGCAATTGTAAATATATGACATGATGTTACACGTATTGTGTGTGCCTTTAAGGATATGTAGGCCTACTGCATCAATTCAGTTTTGATTAAATATAATTTACTAATATTTTAAACTAAATCTAAATTTGTTTGTTTTAAATTACACATATTGTAAATTTTATTATAATTATTCTAAATAAGCATTTAGGTATAGTTTTATGAACTATTCTTATATAATTTCTCCTAAATTTCTGAATACCCTGTATTTTGAAGTCTGTGGATTGTCTTTAGAAAATGTGTTTTACTTATATTTTTAATGTTTTCTTATACATGTGCTCACTTCCCAAATGATGAGTTTTAGAAGAATGTATAGGAATAAAAATCTCAGTAATGTGAATATTAGCTCCAGTCCTAACCAGTCAATAAAGGTGTCGCTCGTAAATTGAAGAAAGGTCTGCAAACACTTCCGGCTGTGATTGAAGGAAGTGAAATAAAATTCCACCATTGTTAGCTCACAACAGTCCACACTTTATATCTTCAGTCATTAATCAAGTTTAAAAGATGCCAGAAATGGCAATGTGAGAATGAGGTCAAAGTTGATTTAAGCTCTCTCCAAATTATCAAATTTTTCTTATAAAAAAAATGTTGTACGCTCATACAGAGAGAGCAGCTTAGCTCAGTCGGCTAATCTGGTGGTAGCCAGTGTGTGTGCTCTGAACCGTGAAGATCTCTTGGTCACTGGTTCAATTCCCATCGCTGCCTCTCCTTGTGTTTCAGCTGGAGAGCTGAAAAACAAGTTACAATAGCACACCACCTTTCGGATGAGATGTATAAGCCGTTGGTTCTATGTGCATTTATGGCACATGTGCATGTTTAAGAATGCAGTACACTCTTCAGAAATAGTAGGAGTACTGTCCAATCACCACCAGAAGGACCCCACTGGAAATAATTCTTCTTCTAGACTTTCGTGGGCTATCTTTGGTGTTTTCACAGAATAAAACCAATCCCATCCAGTAGTCATTATGTCCTTGTCATGATGTGATGTCATCATGACCATATTTACTGTAGGCATGTCACATGTTTTTGTCAAATATAATTTGATAGTGTGAACTGGGCTTCAGGTGTGTTAGTTTGGCACCTTACTGATTAAGTCGTTTCAAGTTGAATCAGGAAAATGTTAATATGAACAGTTTTAAAGTTGATTTAAATAATAGAATTAATCTCATTTTGTTCACTTAATCTCAGCATCAAAGAGGCAACACTTTTGTGGAATAAATTCCGGTCTTATTACATAAGCATGCACTTGTAGAAATAGCATTATCAGGTTTATTATATACTTCTTTTGGCCTAATGTTTCAGAACTTTACTTGAGTCACTGTATTAGTATAATTGGAGACTAAATTTTTAGAATTATACTGCAATCTAATAAAATAGTTAAGCTTTAGTGTTCAATCAGTCAATTACTTCATAATCACTTTGTCCAAGTTTATTATGTATTACTTTTTTGTGTACATTATATTGTTAAATGTAGATATTCATGGGAGCAATACAATATATTAATAAAAAAAGAAATGTCTAAACACAATTATTTTATACCTAAAATCTTACAACCAAGTCTCTTTATGAGGCCAAGGGAGCTCTTTCTGATTCTCCGAATGTACTGATGCTTTCATGCCAGCATTGAGCCCTCGACTTTTCAATTGAAAGGCTGGATCCTAACCATGCCACAAACCTCCCACTTATTTATACTGATAAATTATTATAGTAGTGGATCCAGATGAACTCTTGTAGTGCTAAGTTTAAGTGATTATTTTAAAGGTCATTGCATGTAAACCAAATAACATGGGTCATGCTGTTTGTAAAGCATTTAGTAATTACATAACAGCTGTCAAAATCAACCAAACGTCATTGTTTTTCAATAGTGTATTTACATATGAAATTATATGCCATTGTTTATAAACTTTGACCTTAAACATGGACAGGTGAACTTATAAGACAACTTATAAGCCAATTCGTAGTTAGAACCGTGGATGCCCGTATGAAGGTCAGTCGACATAAACACCATACACAACACAGGCACAGGTTGATTGACCTTATATATGAACATGCGCAGCTCCAACCATGAATTGCCTTATTGTCTATGGCGTCTATGCACATTTTATTGTTATAATATGTTCAACATTTCATTTGCTTATTTTTCAAAATAATGATAATATGTTTCTGTGTTACAGTCTGAGCATGCGGAGAATGTACCTTCACTGGATAAGCCTAACAAAGAATCGTTTTTAGATGATGAAAAATTTGATGCTACCGAAGTTGTCAATGAAGCTCCAATCTCAGAACCACCCGTAAACCCTGCACTCTCCCGTGTAAAGGTAAGGGGCTTTTGTAATATTGCAATTGTTTTGTTAATAAAAGAAATAACAGTATTGATAATAATAATAATAATAACTTTATTGTTTCTCTTTTGTAACAGAAGCACAATCGCTAAAGAGATGTGCAACAATAATTCACAATATAAGAGTAATAATAATATATGTACATTTGTCTTGCTATAGACATTTCGTACTTAACTAATATACTGTCTAATAATACTTTATCAGTATTTTGAATTTTTTACTTAACTAATATCGAAAAGAAATTATAACACGCATCCCAAGAAATGAAATACACGCCACCACGCTCGACACCGTTCACGCCATTGCCAGGAATTCCTGACGATGCGTGACCAATGCCGAAACTCAACAGTGCGCATTCCATCTCCCGGAAAATGCATTACACTTTGTCTGAATAAAATGAAACGAAACAAAAAGAAACTTAAGAAGAAAAAAGAAAAGAAAAGAAAACGAAAAAAAAACAAAACGATAATAATAATTTTTTTTCTCTCTCTCTCTTCCCTCCCCTTCCCCCTTTCCTTCCCTTTTCCTCTCTTTTTTCTTCTTCCCCTCTCCCTCCTCCTTCTCTTCTCTCTCTTTTTTTTTCTTCTCCACTTCCACGACTTTCTTTTTTTCTCTCTCTCCTACTCTTCCCCTTTTCCTTCTTTTTCTTTCTATTTTTTTTTTTTTTTTGATAGTTTGTTAAACTGGTGTTGTATAGACACTCTGCATGTGTAGTACAAGGGTCTTTCAGTTCCAGGAGATCCGTGGCTCCAGTGGATCATTGGGTCTCTGGAGATCCTTGGGCTTATGCAGATCCTTTATTCCTGGGAATCATTGAGTTACTGGCATCCTTGAGAGCTTTGGGATTCTTGTTTTTGACAAAAACTTGGGAACATAAGTATTTATAAAAGGGGCCTAACCAAACTTGTATTAGCACCAGTGTAGTAATCTTGTTGTACCTTGTATCTTGTAACTTGCATAATAATAATCATAATCTATAACAAATTTGGGTTTATATTGAAATAATATAAAAAACAGTATTAAATATTGATACAGTAATATTTTATAGTTAGAACATTGAAAATGATAAAATTACTTAAATGTCAGTAGACTTTATTTCATTTATTTAATTATTTTATTATTTTACTATTATTTTTTTGTGTTTTATATGCAATACCTTGAGAAAGAATATGTCCTAATTTAAAAATCCAAGGGTGTATAGCAATTGTCCTCATAGCTCAGTTGGTAGAGTATCCCAACAGTAATCGGAAGGTTTTTGTTTCAAATACAGATGGGTGACACACGTTTTTCTCAAATGTTTATTTCATTAAAAACTGTAATTTGAAATTAATTCAAGATGATAAATATTGATAATAATTTAACTATCAATCGTAATGGGGGACAATATCTTACTAATTAAACACTATATCCCTTAACGAACTGCACGACTGAAATAAGCACATAAAGTTGTTTTAGAATTATATGTTTCAAGGGTCTAGGCTGATTATTTTTAATATTATCGTTATTCAAAAATTAATTTTGCCACATTTACGCACTGATATTGTCACAAATTGAAAAATATACCCCTTTTCAAATTGCTTTTTAAACATGAAGGGATAAAGACACCAAACTGATATCTGAAACATCTGATCATCATATATAAATTAATCAATGGTGCAAGTTTTAACAACAAGCGTACTTGCCCACAGGGTCAAAGGTCACCATGAAAACGAGGAATTTTTGTGTATTTTTTGTCCTGAATGACCTTTTGACCTACGATTACCCCCTAAAATGATAATTGAAAAACCCAGAATTTTTTGTGGTGAAACATTTCCAACTATATATTAATAATTTATTGGGTAAGACCCATTTAATAACGAATTTGAGTACTTTAATGGAGTCTAAAAGTGAAAGAAAAATTACGCAACAAAATAAGTTAGGGTCTTTACGAAGCAATATTTTCGTAACAGGGTCCGGTATACCAAAAGTCATGTCATTCTCCTGTTCTACAGCCAAAAGTTAGTCTAGATATCAATTTTCAGTTAATTATCTTTATTCTAATTGAAGATATATCTAATTGAAAATGCAACTTTACAAATATGTCATAATTGAGAGCTAAAAAGGGGTATGACCCTAAAATTTCAAATGGCTGTAACTTTTAAACAACTTGAAATTGGCAAGTCAAATTTTGGGTTTGTTCGTCAGACATGTTGGTGCACATTATATCCAAGTTTCAAGAAAATCTGAGACGGTACCCAGCCATCCCATTTGTTGAGTTGGCACGGAATGACCCAAATAATAGATTATTTTTGATTCAAATACCGATGGAGACACATTTTTCTTAAATATTTTTTTCATTGTAATTTGAAATTATTAAAGATGATAAATATTGATAATAATTTAACTATCTATCAATCATAATTTAAAATATTATAATGCCACTTTATTTCTGTAATGCAAATAATAGATTTATTTTTGGTTCAAATACCGATGGGGACATGTTTTTCTCAAATATTTATTTCATTAAAAACTGTAATTTGAAATTAATTCCAGATGATAAATATTGATAATAATTTAACTATCAATCGTAATTAAAAATATTATAATGCCACTTTATTTCTGTAATGCAAATAATAGATTTATCTTTGGTTCAAATACCGATGGGGACACATTTTTCTCAATTATTTATTTCAATAAAACTGTAATTTGAAATTAATTCAAGATGATAAATATTGATAATAATTTAACTATCAATCGTAATTTAAAATATTACAATGCCACTTTATTTCTGTAATGCAAATAATAGATAAAACAAGATATATTCCTTGTGTCTTCATAGCACATAGAGACATCTAGCATAATGTGTTATATCAAGTAAAAATTAGTATTATTTATTATTTTATTACACAAATTAAGACCATTTAAGTTTTCAACATTATAATTTGTTAGATACTTTTCAAATTTGTGTGTGCTTTATGAACAATTTATAGTTACAGTGATTTGTAATTCCTTCCAGTATTAATTATCTGGGCTATGACCCAAATATCCAAACTTCCATTCGGTCAGTTTTATTGTGATGCTTTGATAGAACCTGACGTAAATGGACGTTTTATGTGAACAAAATAATGTCAAGGTAAATGCACCTTTGTTAGGCTAATCAATGGGATTCTTGGTTTTGTCTCTAGTCAATGACAATATAGGAAATTGCAACAGGATTTCTGTACCAGGATGAAGACAGATTTCTGTTTACAAACATATCTTTTTCCTAAGCTGCTAAGCTGTACGTGCAATGGTTATTGCATTTGTATTCTGTTCATCTGTACGATGGCTATTTCTATACCTTGTTTTGTGAACTTAAAAAATAAAAAATAAAATTTTGTTTTCTTATTTTTAGCATATGGTTTTGTTTAAAACATACAGATAAAGGCGAAAATAAAAAAAATTATTGTTGAATGTAAGCACTATAGTAATGGGATGGTTAAATGCTTTAAATTTATACAGTTAGGAATAAATTTTTTGGAAATTTCAAGGAAAGGCAGGCATAATAAAAATAAAGAAAAACAAATGTTTTCATGAGTCTTAAGTACTAACTTAGCCTTTTAAGACAAAAGGCTGTTTCCAACTCTTCTATTTAATTATTTATTTTTTATGTTGTTTAACCATTTATTCCAGTTTATTCTATGCTGTTTTATTTTGGAAGTGCCTGCACAGCCATTCACATTAGGCTTTTGACCCACTGACTATTATATGCTTCCTACTACACATTTAAAAAAAAATTCACAATGCTTCCTAATATATCCCATCTCACTCCTTGTTGTAGCCATAAATATACTGTTCGTACCTCCGCCCCAACCATGGTGCGGCTGAGGTAGCATGGTTCCTCTATCTGTAAAATTTACTGTCTGCACCCCTCCCTTCTTATCCAAGATCCCAGATGTCGTAATTTGGCGAATCATTTTCTAATCATAATCTCATTGGTGAAATATCAAACATGAGTCACCCTAAATTTTTAACGAAATTAAAAATTAAATGGAGATTAAAACAAAATTACTGAAAACTACCTTCAAATTTTGAGTCTGAGAGTGCCATTTCCAGCCACCTAGAAGTGCCATATACATAAAAGAATTGTTGGGATATGGACAATGAGTATATTTAGACATGGGGGTTCGTGCAGACTTGTTACATGTCCAGAGGGGTCCACGAACGCAAAAAGGTTGGGAATCACTGGTTTAGGAAGACTTACCAAAAATATTTTTGTGGTGAATTGTGTTGCCTAAAAAAAATGCAACTGACTTAACTGACAAAATATGTATTGTAAAGAACAGGACATTATCATGAGACTTATTACTCTCCATTCCTTATGTCAAGATTTATGCTGCTATTTCCATACATCATGATTGATGACTTTCTCCAGTTCTGTGCGTAATTTCCTCCCACTCTATCAATAAAAATGATAAACAATTGTGCCCTATAAAGCAAGATTTGTAAACTAGAACTGCATTCAGGAAACAATACAGTTATTGATACTCAGTCTTTTTCACAAGGTGGTTACCTAAAGTTGATTTATTATGAGGAATTTCTTTTCCTGGTCATCTTGCGTTTACTTTCAATACTAGTAACTGGTAGTACTAATATGAGTAATTTTATTTTAATAATGACTTACATTATATAACTATGTGATAGATAACAAAAAGTGCAACAAAAGCAATAATAGATATAAAGAATAGAATAATAATGATGATGATGGTGATGTTTTTTTTAAAATGAAAATTCAGATATATACATATTGGATCCAGATGAATTGTTTTCTTTGGACCATTTTATTGAGCCTTATAATATTCCATTGACTTTCCATTCTTCTCATAATCATTTTGTGCATTTGATTAAATAATAACAACATTTTTATTAGGTTTCTAGGTTTCCTGCATCCATTCATTTGTTTTTAGATGTATTACTTTGTCACTTGTGTATTATTTTTTTTATTAATTTATATATTTAAAAAAAATATATGTTTTATCTTGTTTTGTACTGTTTAATATTTTGATGTATTTCTTAGGTGTTTTCTTAATGTTTTTTGTGTAAATTTTCAACTATATTTGTAGCATTTATTACTTAATTTTTTCTTGATCTTGTTGAATTTTGCTTTTTTATAAATTTTTCAATATTGTTTATATTTGTTTACACTATTAATTAATTAATCTGGGCTATGACCCAATTATCCAAACTTCCATGCGGTCAGTTTTATTGTGATGCTTTGATAGGACCTGACGTAAATGGAAGTTTTATGTGAACAAAATAATGTCAAGGTAAATGCACCTTTGTTAGGCTAATCAATGGGATTTTTAGTTTTGTGTGTAGTCAATGACAATATAGGAAATTGCAACAGGATTTCTGTACCAGGATGAAGACAGATTTCTGTTTACAAACAAATGTTTTTCTTAAGCTGCTAAGCTGTACGTGCAATGCTTATTGCGTTTGTATTCTGTTCATCTGTACAATGGCCCTTTTTATACCTTGTTTTGCCAACTTAAAAAATAAAATTTTGTTTTCTTATTTTTAGCATATGCTTTTGTTAAAAACATACAGATAAAAAAAAATTATTGTTGAATGTAAGCACTGTAGTAATGGGATAGTTAAATGCTTTAAATTTACACAGTTAGGGAAGAAATATTTTGGAGATTACAAGGCAACGGTAGGCGTAATACAAATAAAGAAAAACAAATGTTTTCATGAGTCTTAAGTACTAGCCTTTTAAGACAAAAAACTGTTTCCAACTCTTCTATTTAAGTATTTATTTATTTATGTTGTTTAACCATTTATTCCAGTTTATTCTATTCTGTGTTATTTTGGAAGTGCCTGCACAGCCATTCACATTAGGCCCTTGACCCACTGACTATTATATGCTTCCTACTACACATTATCTGGTTATTCAAGCTCAAAGTGCTTGATTCTACACCTAATAATCTTTTTTTTAAAATAATTATTTTTATTCTAATCAGTATTAAACAAAATGAATTTTGCGACTTGAAATGGAGAAACAAAATATTTATAGTCAAGCAAGGTTCATCAAAAATCTTCTGGTTTTATAGGAATGTTACTAATTAGAACATTCAACCAATTCCAAAAAAAAAAAAAAATTCACAATGCTTCCTAATATGTCCCATCTCACGCCTTGTTGTAGCCATAAATATACTGTTCGTACCTCGCCCCAACCATGGTGGGGCTGAGGTAGCGTGGTTCATCTATCTGTAAAATTTACTGTCTGCACCCCTCCCTTCTTGTCCAAGATCCCAGATGTCATAATTTGGCGAATCATCTTCTAATCATAATCTCATTGGTGGAATATCAAACATTAGTCACCCTAAATTTTTAACGAAATTAAAAATTAAATGGAGATTAAAAGAAAATTACTGAAAACTACCTTCAAATTTTGAGTCTGAGAGTGCCGTTTCCAGCCACCTAGAAGTGCCACATACATAAAAAGATTTGTTGGGATATGGACAATGAGTATATTTAGACATGGGGGTTCGTGCAGACTTGTTACATGTCCAGAGGGGTCCACGAACGCAAAAAGGTTGGGAATCACTGCTTTAGGAAGACTTACCAAAAATATTTTTGTGGTGAATTGTGTTGCCTAAAAAAAATGCAACTGACTTAACTGACAAAATATGTATTGTAAAGAACAGGACATTATCATGAGACTTATTACTCTCCATTCCTTATGTCAAGATTTATGCTGCTATTTCCATTACTCTCCATTCCTTATGTCAAGATTTATGCTGCTATTTCCATACATCATGATTCATGTCTTTCTCCAGTTCTGTGCGTAATTTCCTCCCACTCTATCAATAAAAATGATAAACAATTGTGCCCTATAAAGCAAGATTTGTAAACTAGAACTGCATTCAGGAAACAATACAGTTATTGATACTCAGTCTTTTTCACAAGGTGGTTACCTAAAGTTGATTTATTATGAGGAATTTCTTTTCCTGGTCATCTTGCGTTTACTTTCAATACTAGTAACTGGTAGTACTAATATGAGTAATTTTATTTTAATAATGACTTACATTATATAACTATGTGATAGATAACAAAAAGTGCAACAAAAGCAATAATAGATATAAAGAATAGAATAATAATGATGATGATGGTGATGTTTTTTTTAAAATGAAAATTCAGATATATACATATTGGATCCAGATGAATTGTTTTCTTTGGACCATTTTATTGAGCCTTATAATATTCCATTGACTTTCCATTCTTCTCATAATCATTTTGTGCATTTGATTAAATAATAACAACATTTTTATTAGGTTTCTAGGTTTCCTGCATCCATTCATTTGTTTTTAGATGTATTACTTTGTCACTTGTGTATTATTTTTTTTATTAATTTATATATTTAAAAAAAATATATGTTTTATCTTGTTTTGTACTGTTTAATATTTTGATGTATTTCTTGTTTTCTTAATGTTTTTTGTGTAAATTTTCAACTATATTTGTAGCATTTATTACTTAATTTTTTCTTGATCTTGTTGAATTTTGCTTTTTTATAAATTTTTCAATATTGTTTATATTTGTAATTGTATATATGTAAATTGTAACCATTTGTTGTAATTCAGTTTTTAACTGCATTGAATTTTGGAAATACATCTTGAATTGAAAATTTGATAAAGCACATACTGTATGAATTGAAACCATCTTACTGCTCCTGAGACAGTAATTTGTAATATATTACAACTAGTTTGGCCAAATTAAAAAAATTACTAGTTTCTTGTCTCCTCGCTTATCTATTTTCTCTGCCTCACCAAATTTTTTATTTATTTTTTTTATTTCCTTTATTTTACAAAATGTACGAAAATCTCGCCAACACACATCAGTAAAATTTCTCTCTTGATTCATAGTTCGGGATTTGCATATGGTATGAATTATGTCTCCGTGCTTCTTTTGTTTGCTTTCAATGTGTCTACTTGGTAAACATGAGAAAGTAGAAGCTGTTTCCCATCCACCATCTTGGATTTGCAATCTCGAATTAAAAAAGAAAAAAAAGTGCCCTCATTCTCTTTTTTCCGAAATATTAGGACGAGAAACTTCTTTTATTAACTAGCCCTTAGAATACCTACTTATACTCTTGTGTGGTCAGGAACAATTTGAATAAAGTGTCGAGGACACAAATAATGGCTCAGCTTGAGATTCGAACCCCTGATATTATAATTGAAAGTCCAATGCTTTTCCCACTGAGTCACATGCTTTTGTAATAGACCTTGCATCATATTTTCTTAAGGCAAAGACTTATTGTTTTGTTTCTCTAATATTAGCATTCATCATGAGTTTGTTTTGTAATTGTTAAAATGATTTTGTATCCTTGATCCAGTAACCACAACATGCCTCAGCATTAGCAACCAATATGTGAACTGTTTCCCAGAAAACTCTAGGCCTATAGCTAGAATGTGTTGACGGAGCATTTTTGTTGAATAATTTGGATTAGAAATGAAAATGGTCTGCCAACAATTATCATTTAATCATATGGATTTTAAACGTAAATCCACATACATGAGTAAAGTTTTTAAAATAGCTAAGTTCAAATAAGGATTTTTATTTATTTATTTGACTAATGTGCATTCCAATTTCCAGTTCATTATTCATTATGTTGTTCCTATGATGATGTTATTTTATAAAATTGTTTATAAAAAAAAACATTGAATAACAATTTTATACATTTAGACAATTTGCATAAAATGAGCATATTATAATTAATTTTATTTTTAGTTTATATTAATCTATAGTTCTAGATTTTGTAGATAACATTTGAATTAAAAAAATTATGTATTTAACTAATTGTAGTTTTAAATAAATAGAAATTGAATCTTCCATATGGCACTTTTAAGATAAAAACAACTTTAATTTTTTGTTGAAACAATAACAAACAATTATTTTTGAAGTAAAACTATGTTAAATAATTATATTTTTAAAGTAAATAAGTCAGGTGTATGACATCTTTAAGCCAGATTTTAGCATGAGATTTTTTGTTTGATGAAAATGACAATTTGTACACATTCTATATTTGTCGAAGAAAGTTTTTATTTAATCATATAAATCATAATAAGTTTTGTATGCACTTGTAATATTCTATTTTTAGATATTTAACCCAAAGTGCTATAATCCTTTCCTCACCTTGACACTGCAGTGGTTGGTAGGCTAAAGTATTCAATATCATTGCCTATTGACCTGCTTATTAACCTTGATCCACCAATCAAATAATAGAGAAGTGAACAGAGGTTCTTATTGGCTGAATGAGGACATATAAGTCATGGATTTCAGAACCATGAGCCAGTTTAGTTAGTACCATACCCTAGAGAAGCAGAACATTGATCTACCTTCAACTTAACTTAATTTGTTTTTGTAGGACGAACATTTAACCAAGAGAACAACTAAAAGAGGCATACGTCCTAAATCGATCATTCCACAAGATAAAATAGGTAGGTATTTCAACAACTTTAAATGTTACTAAATTTTTGCAAGTAAGGATGATTCTTTGATCACCTAAGAAGGTGTTTAGATTTTTAGGGGATTTTCAAGAAAGAAGGCAGCCCCTTCTCAAAATAGAATGAGGAAGTAGACAAGAACAATGATTTATTTTTATTGGTCTTAAACCTCAACATCTTGGATCAGCATATATTTTGTAGTAGAACTAATTGGTTTTGGATATCCACGATTTTATATTCTTCTATTTTCAGACATGGGTGTGGAGCCTGTTACACCTCCTGGAAATGTGCAACCATTTCCTGAATTTTCACTGCCACAAGCAGTACCTGTGCCAACACCACCACCAGTGACAACAAAAATAACACCACTGAAAGGTACTGGTTTCAGCGGGGAAGTAACAACCCTAGTTTCACTTACAAAGACCAGACCCAAGAAGCCACAGCGTACAAGGCCAACACGTCCAACTGTTCAGCCTCCTAATTTGCCTGAATCTGAAGTTAAGAATGAATTTACCAATTTAGAGGGATTTTATACTGTTGTGGAGGATAAGGCTGAGAAGAAGAAGGACAAGAAGGAAGATAAGACGAAAGATAAAAAGAAGAAAACTGATGAACCTAAACCAACTGCTCCAGCGTATGTATTCATTGGACATTTCATTGTGTAAAACCTCTGTTCTACTGTCCTGTTATTGGATGGCTCTGACTAGAAATTTCATCTTTCTAAAAAAATTACATTTTATTTGAAAACTTTCTTTGTATGTTATTAATATGTTTTTTTTTATTTTAGGAAACAAGAAAAGAAATCTGTGTTTGGTATCTTTAAAAGGAATAAAAGAGATAAGAGTCCAAGCCAAGGCAAACCTCAATCAAAGAAAAAAGAAGGTAATTATATATTATTAATTTTAAATCTAATATAATTGAATGGCAAAATTCAGTGCATAATATTCTATAAAAAAAAATTGTATAATGTGTTTATGAACAAAGCCTGCCTAGTTAGGGCAATACTTTAAGCAATCCATACATCTATCTATCTATCTGTAAGTACTGTAGTCAATCAGTAATTCATTTAATCATTCAGTGCAAAGAACTTTTAAAGGAAATACTTTGTGTAGTATTTGTATGACATAAACCTTGTTACCTATAATACATTCCATACATTTATTCATTGTTCATCATGCCTAGTTGAACATTCAGCAGTTATGTTGTCGTAATAATAAGTCAATGTGAAAAATTACAATTGAAAGTATGGTATTGAAAGTATACAGTATAAAATTATTATTGATAATTACTATCATTTTATATGTAATGATATGAATAATAATGAGAATGATGATAATTAAAATGATAACTATAAATAATAGTAATTTAATTTAAAATTATGCAAGGTTTTTTGAAAGATGGGCTTTCATTTTTTTGTTTCTCTTGTTTAATTTCTACTTTAATGATTTATTTGTCATGAAATCCCTTATATTATTTTATTTTAATTGTTTATCGATTTCTATTGGTTATTTTAACACAGAGGAAGATGTAAGTGAGATTGCATGGCAAATTGATGTAACTAGTTTAGTTGCACTTCCATTAAAGCAAGCTATCTGCTGCTAAGTTTTACGTTTTACATGTTGCGGTTATCACAATGCTGGAAAAAATCTTGGACAACTCGAACTGATGAAAATTAAGTTTCACAAAAGTGATTCAACTCACAAAGTTTACCATAGGCAGGAATTCTCCACGCTTTGAGGGGACCTATACTTTTTTCCAATGAAACCTGTGGTAATCAAATGAAAACGGAACCCAGGTTTTTTTAAAAAAAAACATTGTGAATGATGAAGAATGCAGTTTTCAATGCTAGAGGATGTTGGTAGCAATGCAGTTTAGTATTAATGCTGGACATAAAAAAGCTGTTTGCAGTGCCATAATGATGAATGATATATTTGATCAGGAAGCATAATATATACCATATATATTATATATATATATATATACCTATATATAATATTATGTTTTTGGAACGTGCTTATTGGAAATGGATCACAGTTTAATATGCTGTTTTTTAAAGTGCAATAAAACATTCTGTGATTGATGGCAGAATGTGTAACACATTGCTAAAGAACTCTCATAAATAATGTATATAAAACATAAATATAGTTAATGATATGATGTATTAAAATCAGTGTATTTTATGTATAGACACAAAATATAAATTAATGATGAAAATTGAATAAAAGAATAATTGATATTAGCATTTGTATGTCTAAAATTATGAATACTTATCTATACCTGTAATTAATATCTAGGTTGGTATTTATAAGAATGTTTGATTTCATATACTCAATACATTAGATTACCTCTTTGTTACCTAATTACAAAAAACAAAAATAATTAAGATAGTATAATACATATTCCAAGTATCGAAATGCACGCCATCGTGTCGGGATTCAATCCTGTCGATACTTGGAGTATGTATTATACTATATTATCTGAGATTAATCAGTGGACCTTTCGGTTAAAAATAATTAAAATTAAAAAAAAAAATTACAGTAAGCAATCATGTAGGAAAAACACAAGTTTAAGTCTACATAATCTAAAACAGTGTATTTGCATATGGAAAGCTCTACTATTATGAAGTACATTGTATATTTTAATTGATACTCAATCATTTTTACACTATTACAATCTAAATACAATAGATTAAAATTCAGCAACATAAAGATCTCTCGCCATCTTGCAAAATATCTCTTAAAGTATTTCAGTGTTGAGCTTTGGTAAAACAAATTCCCTATTACATTGAAAATTGTGTAATTAATAATTGTAAAGTAATGTAATTGATTTAACTACAATTTATACAGGTCAAATCTTAGCCAAGTGCCGGAATTACATTATATTTCTAATTGTAGTTATACATAAAAAATAGTTATTTACAAATGTTCACTAAAAAGTTTATCTAAAAATGAAAAGGCTGACCACAAACATAATTTTACTCAAAACCCAGGAATTACCACAAAAAGGGAATCATTAATGAAAACAACAACAATGATTAAGATTTTCATTTAAAAAAAAAAGAAAAGTTAAGATAAATGAAGCAGTCATATTAATATAAAAAAGAGAAACATACTGAATGTATTGTTATTTATGTGAAATAGATATGACAAACAACTAATTGGTTTAACAAAACAGATCATTTTATACTAAAACATCAACCACTTAGAAAGCTAAAATATAGATACAAGTACAATAAATGGGCCACTCAACAAACATAGATTTCAAAAAAGGAAGTCAAAATGTCGAAGGAAAACAAATAAAATCAACCAATCAGAAACATTGACCTCTGCTTATAAATCATCTCATGACTATTATAAACATGATCCTGGAAAGATTTGGATTAATCCTTAATTGTCTATTAGTACTGTAATGGAAACGAATTATGTTTTAAATGAGCTATAAAACATGTAAAAGCGTTAATTCAGAAAACCACTTAAGTCCACATAAACCTAAATTCTTGCAGAATCTCATTTTAACAGAAGTAAATACTTATATCAAGAGTATATCAGTTTAGCTGATTATCATTTGCAAAGGGATTATTCAACTAAAAAGGCTAAAGTTATACCAACACATATTGATTAGAACTTTGTACAATTTATAAAAAGTTAGAAATAAGTTATTCTTTCTGGTTGGGTCATAATTTTTCCATTATACAGGTTTAATATATAGTGGAGAAAAAAATTATCCGAATAAATAATAAGATAACATTTATTGTCCAATAGAACAACTGGAAATTTGTTTTCCTCTGGCAATACAAAGACAAACTTCATAATATGAAAAACTATTAAATAATAAAAAGCTTACATTATATTTCTCTATGTTTGCTTATTTTAAAAACATCAAGATACATTTGGAGTTCTTCCATTTACAAGTTCATTGTTTTTTATCTGATAAGACTGTATTCATTGGAACATTATGCTTCATTTTTCCTCCATATTTTATTCACCATCAATAATCATCCTATATTCCATATATGGCACTCTGCAATCTCTCCTTAATAACCAAGTCATGGTTACCTCACATCACATTATTCCACATGTTCTATTTGCCTACCTCTCCCATTACTGCATCCTGCCATGATATTCTTAAATCCATATCATTTCAACATTTCATTGTTTTAATAGATGATTTTATAAGACATACTATACAAATGCACAATAGCATGTCACCTGAAATATTCTTGAGCCTAGTCAATGATTCATGATTTCTTAACTAAGCTCTGGACTGTTATCCTTGCTAATGTCTAAGAGTCTCCATCTTCAGTCCTATGCAAAGAGCACCCCAAGATAACCTCTCTGGGGCTGTTCAATGCTTCTTTGTGATTCAGGTTATGAATTGTCAGGTTATGATTCTGTTAATTCTTGATTGATCTATTCATGTATTTATGCATTCATCAAAACCTCAACAATGCCAATATGAATGTTCAATCCAATCATATAACTTAAAACTTTAAATCACTAAGCTTTCCACATTCCTCTTGCTTATTGTCTTCATCCAAACATTTTTTGACTTCATTTACATTGCTTTTATCTGCCAAGTATGTAAATGAATAGTAGATTAGTATGCATATTCATGAAGCATACCAGCCTTATTTTGGGTCATAAACTATTGTTATGCATTATCTAATTTTTAACATATTTATTTGACGCTAGCTATCATTTTAAATCTTCAGATTCTAAAGAAAAGAAGGCAAAAGCAGCAGAAGATAAGAAGAAGAAGAAAGTTTCAAAAGATATTACACCTGCTGTTGAGGAAAAACCAACTCCTCCTCCGGCAGAAAACAAGCCAACTCCATCCCCAGCCATTACTGAACCAGTTTCTCCACCATTAGAGGAAAAACCAACTCCCCCTGTTGCTGAAGAAAAACCAGAGAAGAAGCCCTTGAAACCGCCTGGAGGTATGGGGTTTGGAAACATCTTAGCAAAAACTGATCTGGATAAACATTTGAATAAGGTATGGAATGTTACATTTCTTCTTGTACAAAAGATTTTGTTTGTAAATTCTTTATATACATTTGAGAAACTGCAAATATATCCTTATATAGCAAAAAATATACTAATAATGAAAATATGAAATCCCAAATCAATGGCATAGCTCTCTCTTTATCTTATGTACATATAAGAACCAAATGAAATTTATTTATTTTTTTTTTCTTCCTTCATATTCTTGACTGCAGAGAAAATCTTCTCCATTGCTTGTAAGTGGAAAGGAAGTCGAGCCTGATAAGCCAAACAAGAAAGAAGATGAAAAACCTACTGTGGATCAGATTCAAGAAGGGATTCCAGAAAATCCTTTAAATGACATCAAAAGTGATTTGAAAGCTGAAATTGAAAAGAATGGTAAAGAACCTTCAGCAGTAGAACTTACTAAAAATGTAGAGGAGGTAGATGATTCTGATAAAAAGTCAGAACCAACAGAAGAGAAAGAAGAAAATACACCTGTGAAAGCAAAAGAACTAAAGGAAGAGAATACTGAAGCTGAGGAAGTGGCAAATAAGGAGATTAAAAGTGTTGGGGTGACAAATGGTAAAGACTCAGAACCTGTTGACGTAGAAGTCAAGACTAGCGAAAACAATGATGTTCCAGTTGCCGTGGAGAATAAAGATGAAGTCAAAGTTGTGGCTGAAGAAGCAAATAATGAAAATAAACAAGAAAATACAAATATTGTAAAAAAAGATGAAAATTTTGATACCACCGATGGAAATAAAAAGGAAATAACACAGCCAATTGAGAAATTGAATGAGGAAGAAAACGAATTACCTCAAACAGAACTAAAAACTGAAACAGAAACAGAAACTCAGCCATCTTCAAAAATTTCTTTAGAGTCAGAAGGAAATACTACTGTAAAGGAAACTGAGTCAACTGAAGTTTCAACAGAAGAGAGTGCAAAAGAGAAAGAGGAAGGAAAGAAAGAGGAAAAGGATGAGAAAAAAGAAGATGAAAACGAAGAGAAAAAAGAAAATGAAAAAGATGAAAAAAGGGAAGAAATACACAATGCATCTGAGGAAATCAGTGACAAAATAGTAAATGTAGTTAATAAAGATGTGACAAAAATATGTACTGATGAGGAAAGTACGGAAAAAGTTCCAGATGTAAATGGAACAAAGGAGAATACTGACACGACTGAAAGCACATCAGCACCAAAAGTTGAAACAGCAAAACCAGTGTCACCAGAATCAGACCGACCAAACTTGCTTTCAATAAATGTGGATAGTGCAAGTTCTGAAAACAATGAACAAAAATCACCCATCAAGAGTCCTAGTAGGCCAACACCATCCCCAAGGCCCACAGCTGCTCCAAGGCCAAAATCCGCACAAACCGATGGACGTCCTCCACCTGTTACTAAACCTAGACCAACATCTATGAAGCCATCACCATCAACGAAGCCAAAACCTAGTAAGTCAATATTCCTCCTATACAAAATTTAGTACTTTGAATATTTAAAAAAAAAATTGAATAAAATACAATATAATTTTACTTATTATTATAAACATTTAAAAACTTCTCCATATCAAAGTTCATATTATGTGATTTATCTGTAATTTGTTGTGTGTTATGCAATACCTTCAGACGAACCTGTCCCGAGGTAGTTTACCAGCTGGTCCTCATAATAGCTCAATTGGTCAAGTGTCCGATCAGAAGGGTCACGGTTACAAATCCCATAGTGTATCATGTTTTTCTGAAATTTGCCTTCATATCAATTGCTTCATCAATTGCTTTATTTAAAAAATCACTTATTCCAACAATAACATGAAGCGCCACTGATAATTACTTCGGTTTTTTAAATGGCACTATATAAGTTCTTACCTTATTATTATTATATGTCACTATTTCGCCTGTACAAATTCAGTATTATTTTATTCAGATACTGGTAAAATATGTTTTTTGAATCATTTACTAATTTTTTCCCAATTGTTGTATGCATTCTTGGCATCTAAAAGCTAACCATCTGTGTCATATCAATCTCTCATTAAACTTGTTATTCTTCCATACACATAAAAGCTCTTGAATAATAAGTTCCTTTATGAAAAATATATTTGTTTGTTTGTTTTTATTGTTTAGAAAAATCTAATAGTACTTTACAAATGGTGATTGAAAGCAATGTGGCAAATGCTGAGACGAATGGAACATCAAATGGTGATGTTAAACCAAGAAGTGAAAAATCACCGCCACCCTCAAAACCTCCAGGTAGTATTTCAATTTCTAAAGAAACCCAAGCATTACATGCAGCCACACCAGATTGCCACTTAATCTCAAGTCTCTGTGGTAGTGGTGTATCACGTAGTATTGACATGGGGGAGCTGATTGGGGATTAGGCATCCTTGAGGATTAGGTGAGAAAAAGAGAGAGAGAAGGAGAGCTACTGTAGCTGGAAAAAATGTGATTTTTTTTTTCTGCTCAGTGAATTACCAATTGGGCAATTGGGAGCTTTTATTGAGGAACCCCAAATCTACGCTTCCCTGTAGATGCCTCACTAGTTTGTATGTCTGTTCTTTTTGTGGTGAATTCCTAATATCTCTTTGATTTCTAAGCCCCACTTTTTTGTAAGTCAATACCAGTCACGTTATGAAATGCCCACAATGCTTCAGTCATCGTTTCGCATAGGGCATCACTATTGTCAAGTATAGTAGGTCTTGGAATCCCTCATCACCAGATATGAAATATGTCAGATTCAAAGGACAGACAAAGCATAAATCTTTCTTGAGTTATGAAACCAATTATCATTACCTTAAATGCTTGAATAAGCGTCGCTCTCGGATAAGCGCTGCACCAAACGTGATTTTGTTTGTTAAGCGCCGCCCTCGAATAAGCGATGCGACGCTTAATCGAAAGTATGTAATATTACCATGCAGTGTGTGCAGTGTTAAAATGAATAAGTAACACAATGAAGATAAAAGAATTTCTTTATAAATGTTTTTTTACGATGATAGGACCTATGATAGGCCTACTGAACTACGGGATTATGTGAAATAGGTAACATGGGAACAAGCATTGAAAGCACGGCGCCAATATTTTTTATAAGCGCCGTTCTCGAATAAGCGCCGCACTGAAGCCTCCAAAGATTTTGTAAGTGCTGAAGCGCTTATTCGAGCATTTACGGTACTACTTATTTTAATTGTCATATGTCGCCTTGTGTTGCTTTTAAAATCTAATGATTATCTTTTTTTCTGATTTTCTTTAGTGAGAGCACGACCAAAATCAATTGAAAATTCACCATCAAAGAACTCACCAGATGTAGCTGATAAAAACTTTAGTCCTAAAAAGGAATAATAAATAATCACACCAGATTCATGATCAATATCTATTGATTATAATTTGTCAGAAAGTGCAAGACTGTGCAATGCAACTTTCCAGAATGCCCATCAAACTTCATAGATGGGAAAGGAATACGAGCTTGTCTCAGAGCCACACTCTGCCTTGTTTTTCTATCAGTGGTTGTCGTTTTTTGGGAATACAGCGACAATATCCAGGAGCATGGCTTAGCAGAATGGTCAATTTGAACGTCTATTTACTCATTTCTCTCAAGACCTCAACCTGGACATTTCAAGTACAGTATGTAGATATCAATATTTATGATGGTGTAATAAAAATAATGATACTGTATAAATTTTTAGGTTTATATTGAGACAACTTATATAGTATAGTATAGTATAAATCTCAGATTTATAGTATTAAATAATGGAGTTGAGCTGTAGTTTGGTCAACATGCTTGCCTTCCAATCCTATGGTTCTCAAACCAGAATTTTTGTCTCGTATGACTAAAATCACCACTCACAGACCTCTCCACTAAGCGCTGCCCTCACTATCAACTTTTATGTGGCAAATACCTGTGCCTTGCTCATATATGCGTGTATATATGACATCATGCCCATATATAGGAAATTCACAGGTATTGATCACGCAAAATTTGATAGTGTGGAAAGTCCAAATGATAAGCTTTTCTAGATGGGTCACAATATTGTGTAAACATTAATACAAGTGAAGTAATCTATAATTTTATACTTAAAGTGGGAAAAAAAAATTACCATATTAAAGTACTAAGTGCATGTACTGAAGAGTAATTAAGCTTCTATATATTTAATTTCTATACCTTTTGTCTATGACTTGAGATAAAATAATGTACTGTATTTCTTTAATTATTAGTTGATGAAATATACATAATACTGCAAAATCATAAAATAAAGTTTGAACAATTTAGATGATGAAAAGTAGTAAAAAAATATCAGTTAAAGTAATATCTGTTAAAAAAAAATTGGTATTTCTATGAGGAATTTATAATGTTTGCAAGTGATTCAACCAGTGTTTAATTAAAATGTTTGAATGCTTACATGATGAGGTCTGCTGGTGAGGACCCCACTCCCCCTCCTTCAGTTGTAAGAATTGTTGCCTTGTAGATATTTCAGGGAACAATTTGGCCAAATCAGATTCAGTTGTCAAGTACTGTATAGATATATATTATGGAAGTAAAATACGATTTGCAGTAAGGTGATCTGTATACGTGTAAAAATAATTTTATTTTTGCATTATAATGAAGTTTACAAAAATGAAATGGTCTTTTCAGCATTTATTTCCGTGAATTGGAATAAATTATAAGATATAAACTATTGTGAATCAAATTTCTCGAATTTGGAATATTTATTTAAAGTGCCCTTCAGGAATCTGGTAGATTAAGTTCAATGGAAACCCTGATTATAGTGTTATGTTTGTCAAATTGCACTAAATATTTTTACAGTGTCAAATGTCAAGATTGTGTAAATGCCACTGTTATGGCCTTTAAAATTTAAAATTTCAAAATTTGTCTTCACTTTGCAAAACAAGTGAATTACCTGCAACACTAAAGCACATAGAAATGAATGTAAAATGCATCATACATGTGAGCAGGCATTGACCATACCACTAATTGAGAACCTCTCAATCAGAGACCTCAAATGTATATTTTATAAGGCCATCCTTGCAGCTCATCATTCTTCCCCTAAATACGGTTAGAGTATGAGTATACTAACCTAACCGTTGGGCCATTACAATTCAAACGGTTTGTCTCAGAACCAAAAATACCATCAATTGAGATTTGTATGTATGCCACATGGTGTACTGAAACCTATAATTATTTATTAAGCACATTTTTTATCTATTTGATAGATACTTATCGAATAAAGACCAAAGTTGCTAAAGACCAGGAAAACCTCATTCCCAAAAACGGTCTTTAATTAGAGGGAGACCTGTGACTATAATCATTAATACCTATTAATGACACATTTTAAGGCCTATTAATGACACATTTTAAGGCCATTTTTAAATATTACTTGAGCAGAGATGCCCAACATCAACATGGTATGTCTGTTTGTGCAAATTCGACATACAGTATATGCATAAATACTATTGGTTACCGTTTACACTTGAGTGTACAGTTTTATAAATGTCATCATATTGAGGGCAGTATTTATGTCGTGTTCCTTCACCAATTTGATAATTATAGACAATTTAAATGCTAGGCTTACTTGAAAGCAAAGACTACTTGTATTTAGATAAACTATTTTGGTTAAACAAATTGTGTTTTTCTAGCTGTGTTTTCTTATTATGTACATAGCATTTACATACAGTGGAAAAATTCAATCAAGTTTGACCAGTTTTAATAATATTTTGATAATCAGAATATTCATTTAATTTTGTATAACTATTATTTTCTATTCTATTATGTGTTTGTTTATAAACCTTTCTTTCAATAGAATACTGTGTATATTTATTGTTGTTAGTGGTGATCATTTATTGCTATTGTAGATATATAAAAGTTTACTTATGCTCATTATTCTAAATTACATTGTAAGATGTCCCATCATAATTTCACATGTGTTTTCTCATAGGTTGTATTGCCTTAATTCTTTTATTTGATAACTGTGGGCCAAAGTATAACAAGTTAATCTATAGTTAATACATTTGCTAACAAGGATGATTGTGCACAAACATAAAATATATATTAAATAAAGGTTATCTTTCAAAGTCTTATTTGCATGTAGGATTTGCTGTCTTTTTGACAGTTTCAGCAAAATAATTGCTATTATAAGTCTGTATTGACGTCATCACTGAAACTTCCAGTGTTATTTTTCTATCCCAAACCGTGCACTATAGGTAAGATAATTATAAATTATGCTAGTGTATGATTTTCAGCATTAATTGCTTATTAGTGAATACTGAGTAGACCATCTAGTAATTATCATTACAGCAATAGGTTAACTTTGAAAGGTAATGTTTATTTATTGTGTCATCAACAAAGTCAAGCATCAATATCCATGCTGCTATCCCAGCATAAACATATTTTCAACCAAACATTTCCATAGCAAAGCTAACTCATAAGTAGCAGCTGTCAAATACCTATTTTTATACACATGCGCTGTCTGTGTGAGTAGTTTGATAAAATAATTGAACCAATGACTTGGGCTATGTTCTCACACGGCAGCTAACGATTAGCAGGATCCGGATCCTGCTAACCGGTAGCTGCCATGCGTCCATACATGAAAATCCCGATACGGATACCAAAAATATGATGACCGAATTACTGGCCAATAAGAAACTGGAAATTGTTAAACGTGTATGTGTGATTGGTTGATGATGAAACCGCGCTCAACTTGCTAACCGTTACGTTGCAAACGGTTAGCGCTAACCGATCGGGCGTTCTCACGCAGGTGCTAACGGTAAAGCCTGTTTTCCACACGAATCCAAGGCATCGGCTTATGCATATGCGCATTCACATTCCTATCAGAGTTTTTGCGAAACGAAAAAATGCGCAACCAATCAGAGCTCAGGAAGCGAACCAACGCTTTAATTCGCGCAAAAAAAATCGCCTATTGGAAAGCCAGCTTTAGCTCCTGATCCGGATACTAGGGTTCTCGTGAGAACCAGGCATGAATGTTTATTATACTTATCATAAATACATTCATGTTTTGGTCACAAGTAATTCTGATAATTACTTAAGGTGTTAAGAACACACTGTACTACTAGGTATATGTTGTGGAATATCATTTAAGCTGCTGCATTCAACTCGGATTCGTTCGAACCGAAATTCGGACCGCCTTTATGATGCGCTACCAGCGTCTCTATTCTTACACAATGATTCGATTTTCTGTTCGGTTCGGGAGGCTTTCAGATCCGAAAATTCTGATTTGGTGTTAATGCACCTTTAATTAATTATACTTTTTTCGTGGACCACTTTGCAGCCAAGTATGAATTTTCAAAGACCATTATACTTTTATGAATACAGGATTTACGTGCATAATTATAAAGGGTGAAGATAATGTTTAGTTTTTGAAGACACAAGATATTATTATTACTGTAGTTTTGTATATCTCCTATGATTGCAAGTGTAATTGAGGTATCGATTTTTGATTTATGTATTTTCTATATCATTATTGCAATATACAAAATAAGTGTTGGAATAAAATATCAAATATTGCCAATACTCTAGTTTTCATATGTGTTTTCTTATAGATTCAATCCAAGAACCTTGGTCATAGGCCTATATATTTTGCTTCTGGTAGATAAAATTACATTAAAATAAAAAAACAAAGAACAAATGAACAATGTACTTTATATAAACGCTGTGGCTAGAGATACGGTACCGTATTTCTACTGCCAGTCCGGAAGAGCTCCCTCCCCCCATCCCTAGTCGGGGAGAAAAGCACAATTCGTCGTGAGAAAAAAAAATGTTTCTATATTCTACCCTTTTTTCTACATATTAGTAGACTCTAAAATCGATTAAATAAGCTTTGAAACCCCAAAATTTGGGGGGGGGGAAGCTTGGCCGCCCCCCCCCCCGGGGCCACTTTCGAAGCCTTTTACTCGTAGCTCAACCACGCCCACTTTGCTTTCGTCTGGGAAATCTGACCCCTCGTCGGGGGAATAGGCCCTCCGTCGGGCAAATCCAGGCGTCACCACTGGAATTTCTATACGGTAGTTCTGCAGATATTATACTGTACCAGATTTCAAATTTAACACGTAGAAATTATTGAGATGGTGGTTAGGGGGGAAAAATGCAGGAAGAACTAATCTTACAACGACAATTAATGGTTGTGCCAATACTTCCCCCTATCAATCTATACTCGATAGGTTAAGCTCAGTCGGCTGGCTGGCTAAACTTGGGGTAGCCACTGTGTGTGCGCTGAACTTTGGAGATCGCTTGATCCCCGGTTTAATGTCCATCGCTGCTGTCCATGTGTTTCAATTGGTGGACTGAAATGTAAGTTTCAAAAAGCGCACCGTATTTCGGATGAGACGTTCCGTGGGTACTGTGTGCAAAATGGCCCATCTGTACATTACAGAACGCAGTGCACTCTTCGGAAAAATATAGGGGATTTTCTCCCGGTGTCTTACCAATTCACAACCACTGGAAGTAAGTCTCAGTATTTTCGTGGGTTAAGGCCTGTTTATAGTTCAACGATAACGATAAAAAGAAAGCTAAAAAGCAATTGTTCATATAGAAAATAAGAGAAGTTTTTGCACTAGAACGATTCGATAACTATTTATCAGTTGTGCGATAACAACATATTTTGACAAATCAAATCAGATGCCGTCATAATCATGGAAAAACATTAAAATCGTAGTAGTAGCAACTCAAATTATAATAAAGGCACGCGCACTGAGAGTCGTGTATTATAAGTAATTCAGATGTTTGTGGGCAGAGATAGAGTACCGGTTGTACAGCACACTTTCGATAAAACTTGGGTCATTTATGCAGTTCATTTCAACAATTTTCAGGCATCTTCTTGACATACGAAATTATTACATTGCGAACGAAAAGTGAGGGACCTATCCCCAACCCCCTCAACAATATTTGGGGACGTGTCCCCTTTTTCCCTCCTTGATCATGGGTTTAGGGAGAGACATCCCCTTCCATTTGAGATTTTTTTGAATTAGTAGACGGCTCTTGAATGACATCTGAAAAGAAGTTAAGCTTACAATAGAAAGTGTATGTTTTACAAGGGGAGCCTACTACATGTAACATGTATACATGAGAAGCACACACACAAGGCGAGTGACTATGTTTTTTTCGAGGTCACCGAAAGTGGGTGGCTAGCCACCCTATTCACCCCCTAGATCCGCCTCTGTACTGGTTAATAATAATAATAGTTGAATTCGAATAATTATCAATAAATATACAGTACAGTTATAAAGCATGAATGCGTAAGCTTTTTTAAGTTCCAGAAAATAATTAAACTAATAACAATGTGTACAAAAATTCAAATTGCATAATGTTTAAGAACTTACAAAAATATTGTGATTATGTTGACTTTGTACATAATTTATTTACAGTATTTTTAAGTCATAGCTAAAAACCATGCACACTCAGCAGTATTTAACATGCATTGGGTGGCGAGGAACAGGGAAATGGCACACAAGTCGTTTATTTGCTTAAAACCAAGATTTACCGATCATGATTACACTAATAATAATAATAATAATAATCATATTTTCCATATGATGTTTCCATAGGGCTGGAGTAGGAATATACCGTAGCTCCATGCATGAGACGCGATATATATATTTTCAATTCCTCTCCACAACCCTATAAAACCATTTATCTTAATAAGCAACTCTTTTGTAAGAGACATGTGCTACTTTTGACATTTGTTCGTTTGTCATTCACTTATCATTTTAAATATATTTCTGTTTGTTGCTTTGTTTGATTTGCAGGCCTAGATCTATGATTTTTATTGGCCTCTGTTTGATTGAGTTTATTATGTTTAAGGTTCTTTGTAGGGCCTATTGTTTAGCATATTTTAAACATTTTATTTCAAAATTGTGTTTGTGTATGCCTAGTTGAAGTTTGCTTATGCTTTTTTTTTTTTTTTTTTTTTTGTAAAAACTGTTAATTTGGATGCACCACTACTATTGTGTGTGCCACCGATCTTAAGGTGTTATTGCATTAAATTGATTGATTGAGTTAAACGTCGACGCGTTGGGCTGCGTCGCGATTCCGTCTGAGTTGGCCTTTATGGAACATGAAGACGCCAATATGGGCATTGTTAGGCTAATTTGACTTATTAGCATTCAGATGGTTTGGGATTTGTTCTAATCAACGCTCCATTTCAATTAAGCAAACCCTCATGGAGTAGCAGAACTCATTCAATTCCATGAAGGAAATATGAACCTGAAGATCTGGCTTTTTCTTATGTTTACTTCATGCTCATTCTGGGATACATTGGCTTTGTTTGACGATTTTCAGATTGGAATACCCAATAGCAATGGCGGAACTACAGCTTGGTTAACAACGGAAGTGCCGACAACATATTCGTCAAATTCTGTTCCAATCTCCGCCGATTTAGAAAAAGCAGAAATCCTAGAAGGTCATAATAATGGACGGAGATCGGTGGATCCCGAGGCATCGAATATGAACATTGTGGTCTGTTATGATTTATTTCTAATTTTGATAGAACCACCTACACCTGTAGATAATTAAAGCTGGTCGCTTACTATTCTAATTAAATTAGCCATACAAAAACTAAAAGTTGTATTTAGCCATTTGGTTTAACTAGATATATTGTTTTGTTTTATCATCGGCGTACCATCTTTCAGTGAGGCTTGTGTACACAACCACAAGTTCTCTATGCCACAAGTGAGAGTACAACGTGTAATAAATGAAAAGTGTGTCGTTAAATACGCCTTCAACGAATCGGTAGACCTTGAAATGATGACAGTCACCTAAGTCAATGGGGCATAACCAACAAAAACAAGATAAGCTTTTGAAGCTAACTTCTTGTCCTCATATTATTTAAAAATTCGTAACTCCCTCAACAGAGGGTTGTATCACATTAATTTGTTGTTTTTTTTAATGTTCTTTAAAGACTATTCTAAACCACTATATATGATTGAAAAAAAATTGAAAAAATGTTTTTAACCTTTGAAATCAAGATGGAAAAAGAAAAGCCTATCTTTAACAGTGTATTAAAATAGGCCAATGCAGTACAGTAGTATGCCTATCTAGTAGCAACCTACAAACTAGACAGAGTATCGTTTCAGATGACTTACAGATTTCTCTTATTATATAAGTACAAGTTATGTTTTAGAAAGAAGTATAGTAATTCATGTTTTTAACACAGGAAAATTTCTGAAGTAATATGGTATTACTGAAACAGTACAGTTCAGCAGTCTACTATTTACTACTAACAAAGAGTATAAATAGAACAAGAGAGCCAACAACGCTCATTGGGAGCGTAAAAAAACGATACGCTCTACGCAGCTAGTGTAGGACGCCAACTAACGCTTGTATATGTTTTATTACCCAGTACTGCACTGCGCACTGTAGGTTTGTCTGTTTATCTGTTCTCCACAAGATACTGTGCTTTTGTTTTCTGCTTACTGAGTTTATAGCGGGCGTACTTCTACCGCGCTGCGCAGCGCTGCACTGGGTAATAAAAAGAATATACAACCGTTAGTGGGCGTCCTACACAGGCATGACGTTTTTACGAACGGGACTTTGCTCTCTTGTTCTATTTATACTCTTTACTACTAAGTACTGTACTGTGCATAGTAGGCCTATTTTAATACACTAATTAAGTAGGCTCTTCTTTTTCCATCTTCGTTTCAAAGGTTAAAAAACATTTTTAATTTTTTCCCCAATCATATAGAGGTTTAGAATAGTCATAGAATACATTTTCGATGTGCAGGGACTATTTCCAGAAACTGAAATCCTCAACACATACTGTAGGCTAAACCATCTTTTGCCTACAGCTAGGGAGACACACTAAAAGGTTTTTCTCTCCCTAGAATCAAAACCGAGTGTTCAAAGAATTCATAACTAATGCTGGTTTGTTCAATAACTGGTAAATCGCCCCTGTACTGTACACCTGGGTCCTCCTCTTCTCACGAGGTTTTATCAGATGTGTAATTTTTACAATTTTTCGTGAGTCTTTTGGATGGTTTTGGGTGTCGGTCCAAATTATGTTATTGATTTTATTTTTCTCTTTTGGCACTAATTGTTTAATTTAATTATAAATAAAATGTAATTTTTTTTATAATTAATTTAATCAGTTACATATTTTTTATAGTAGAAGTCGTAACTAAAGTTTCCTTAATTAAATCGACAATTATTAATTTAATTTTATATTCTTTTTATATCTGTATTTATCTTGTATCTGATGTTTTTAAAATGTTTTCCCCACTGTTCTTAAACTGCAGTTATGATTTCACTTAAGTATATTGTTAATGAGAGATTGCAATAAAGTTCTTCGTATTTCGTATTATAGGCATGGGATGACGAACTTTACAGTGCAGCACAAGCGTCAACAGATACCTGCCATTACACTATAACGACATCTACTGACTTCGAGAGGTCAAGAAAAGTTGTCCAGTTCGCGGGGATTACACAGGCTGAATCTTTTAGGCTTTCAATGTACGTTAGCATCTTGTTTGCTCTTGGGGATCACTATACATACGCCACAAAAGAGTGCTCCGTTCCTGTCGATTATTGTAATGTTTACAAATTAGTAAGTTATTTAATTTGTATATAATATTATCAGGTATTTATTTTTGATACAGAAACTAGTATTGGTACTGAGTAAAAGAAATCGCGTAACGAAAGGGTCAGAGGCCTCTGGGCCCCGGCCGCTCTGTCGTTTTTAGCTTTCTATGATGTATTTTAATGCCTAATTACACACTCAAATTCTAAGTTTATGTATTGTGATTAGACCCAAAAAAAGCATATAACCAATATATCTCTAATAAACACATTACAATAAATACCAAACCAAACGAGCCAATTAAAATCAATAAATATTTATGGACAAAAACATATGTATCATACTCATGTGTCAGTGCTTTTGCTCATGGTTTAATTTTTTGTTTGTAAAAAAAGATATAACGCGCATTTAGACATTAGTTTTCGATTACATGTTGAAATTATTTTAAGTGTTTTTTCTGTATTGCACTAAACTACAGAAAGAAAACTTATTCATCGAAATTTAACTAATCTCTACTCTGCGCTACTCTCTTCCATGTAATGCTCCCCCAATTCCCCTAATGCACTGCCCGTCGAGTTTTTGACTGCCTCTCTTTATGCCTCGATGCTTTAGTAAGATTTCATTTAAGTCCACCGTGTCTACTTTTCTTTCCACGTGACCCATTTCTATTTTCTCTGACACTTGCATCTTCCGTTTATGTTAGCTTGCATGGGCAGAGATGACTAAAATGGGATGTGCTCAAACATTTTGTTCTGTGCTTTATGATACTCAAAATGCCATGAACAGAACAGATATTTGGTATTTCAAGTGCAATTATGAAGAAATGTAAGTATCTGTAAAAAAATAAGTGTTTACATTATAATCATTAAATTAATATAACTTTAGATATAATTACTACTGCGTAGCATAAGAAAACTTGTTGATATTGTCTATTCTGTATTCATTCGTTTTTTATCACATATTTGTATGTGCAGAGGTAGATATGATACTCTCGATTCCTATCTAGTTGGGGAACAGTGCACTGAATGTTCTTCTGGATCTGGATGGTGTAACACTGGACTATGTGGTAAGCTTAGTAATTGTTTATAGTTGTTTTAAATTCTAAGTTAACGAGTGAGTGATTTTAAAATGTGTGTATTGTTAAAGAGTTGCAATAACCAGAGGTTGCTTGATAGTTCATTCTAATTTATTATGGTTCATAATTATACAACATAATGGTCTATACTTAGGCATGACAGTACTTCTATGTTTATTTTGTTCACCCGGAAGTTTACGAGTTGGTGGAATTTGAATTTTAAACATTTTTTCAAGTACGTTTAATTCTATTAACTTTTCCATTCCAGACGCCACTTGCACAAGCTCGAATGAGAGCTGTTCGTGTGAGTTGAACTCAGACTGCAGCTTCCATGGCTCAGTTGACAATTCAACTTGCCGCTGCGCATGCGACTCTGGCTATAGTGGGGATGACTGTGAAATAGGTAGGTCACAATTATTTTCATTTATAAGATAGGCTTCGTTTATTACTTTACTTAGGACTGTTATACCCTAGCAGATACTCTACTCAGTGTTTCTTAAATGCTTATATTTCACCAAAATCTAAACTTAATAAGAAAGAGTAAATTTAAAATAGGTTGTATTATTTGATATTACCTTAACTATTTGAATCCGTTCTATGTTCACTTAGACATGCAAGCGAAAGCTCCTAATACTAAAGACGACAATGTTTTAGGCCTGCATTTTTAGTTAAAGTGCTTTTGTTTACAACATTTTAGGTGACTTTAAAATGCACATAAATACATATTTGAAATAGTATATCTGAGCATCTTGATATCAATTTAGGTTTAGAATGTCAAAATTAACTTCTGTATATATCTAACCTATATATCATTCAAAGATACATTTATAAATTTAAATTATAATCATACTTGTAACATATTTTTCAATCATATGTGTCTTCGCCTTCAGGTCCATTGTAACTATTGCTTATATTACATCATAGCCATCGATAATTTCTACAAATATTCTACTGTTTTCAAAATTATAATAAAGGTAAATGTAAAGAAAAATGTAGCCCCTATTTATTACTGAACGTACGGGAATGAGCTGTTGGCTCATCGTACAAAGCCTCGTTATTGTGTGGTAGAGTGGCCAGTTCCTTTGAACAATGCCTTTCTCCTCCCAAGTAGTGAACCGGGTATCCATTTATATTCCTGTGTAGAAAAAGGTTAAGAGTCCCAAACACAACCCTGTGCCAACCGCTACCACATAAAATAATACTATGTGATACAATTATCTGATTTGACAGTTTACTTTGGTAAACCTATTAATAGAATTAGGTACAACCCAGCAGTCGGCAACTGAATACAGTAAAACCGAACCATCGACAACTTACAATAGCACAGTCGACTTATCGACAACTATATACAGTACAACTGAGCAGTCAACAACTGGCATTAGTACTAGAGAACAACCAACAACTAAATACAGCAACACCGATCAGGCTACAACCCATATTAGTACAACATTTAAGCCATCGACAACTAAATATAGTACTACAAAAAAGTCAGCGACTGAATATAGTACCACAGAGGCGACGACAACTGAAATCAGTGCAACTCAGTCATCGATAACTGAATACAAAACAACTCAACCATTGACAACTAAATACAGAACAACTGAGCCGTCAACAACGGAATACAGTACAACTGAATCGTCGACAACTGAATACAGTACAACTGAACCATCGAGAACAGAATACAGTACTACTGAACCATCGACAACTGAACTGTCCACAAAAGAATACAGTGCAACTGAACTGTCCACATCTAAGTACAGTACAACTGAACCGTCGACAACTAAATACAGTACAACTGAACCGTCGACAACCGAATACAGTACAACTGAACCGTCGACAATGGAATACAGTACAACTGAATCGTCCACAACTGAATACAGTACAACTGAACCGTCGACAACAGAATATAGTACTACTGAACCATTGACTACTGAACCGTCGACAACAGAATATAGTACTACTGAACCGTCGACAACTGAATACAGTACAACTGAACCGTCGACAACTGAATACAGTACAACTGAACCGCCAACAACCGAATACAGTACAACTGAACCGTCAACAACTGAATACAGTACAACTGAACCGCCAACAACCGAATACAGTACAACTGAACCGTCAACAACAGAATACAGTACAACTGAACCGTCAACAACCGAATACAGTACAACTGAAACATCATCAACAGAATACAGTACAACTGAACCGTCGACAACAGAATACAGTACAACTGAACCGTCGACAACTCAATACAGTACAACTGAATTATCGACAACGGAATACAGTACAACAGAATACAGTACAACTGAAACGTTGACAACAAAATACAGTACTACTGAACCGTCGACAACTGAATACAGTACAACTGAACCGTCGACAACTGAATACAGTACAACTGAACTGTCGACAACTGAATACAGTACAACTGAACTGTGGACATCTGAATACAGTACAACTGAATCGTCAACAACTGAGTACAGCACAACAAAACCATCGACAACAGAATACAGTACTACTGAAACTTCAACAACAAAATACAGTACTACTGAACCGTCGACAACAGAATTCAGTACTACTGATTCGTCGACAACTGAATACAGTACAACTGACTCGTCGACAACTGAATACAGTACAACTGAACCGTCGAGAACAGAATACAGTACAACTGAGCCGTCGAGAACAGAATACAGTACAACTGAACCGTCGACAACAGAATACAGTACAACTGAGCCGTCGACAACAGAATACAGTACAACTCAACCGTCGACAACCGAATACAGTACAACTGAAGCGTCGACAACGGAATACAGTACAACTGAATCGTCGACAACTGAATACAGTACTACTGAACCTTCGACAACAAAATACAGTACTACTGAACCGTCGACTACTGAACCGTCCACAATTGAATACAGTGGAACTGAACTGTCCACAACTGAATACAGTACAACTGAACCGTCAACAACAAAATACAGTACTACTGAACCGTCGACAACTGAATACAGTACAACTGAACCGTCGACAACTGAATACAGTACAACTGAACTGTCGACATCTGAATACAGTACAACTGAACTGTCGACATCTGAATACAGTACAACTGAATCGTCAACAACTGAGTACAGCACAACAAAACCATCAACAACAGAATACAGTACTACTGAAACTTCAACAACAAAATACAGTACTACTGAACCGTCGACAACAGAATACAGTACTACTGACTCGTCGACAACTGAATACAGTACAACTGACTCGTCGACAACTGAATACAGTACAACTGAACCGTCGACAACAGAATACAGTACAACTGAACCGTCAACAACAGAATACAGTACAACTGAACCGTCAACAACCGAATACAGTACAACTGAAACCTCATCAACAGAATACAGTACAACTGAACCGTCGACAACCGAATACAGTACAACTGAACCGTCGACAACTCAATACAGTACAACTGAACCATCGACAACGGAATACAGTACAACAGAATACAGTACAACTGAACCGTTGACAACAGAATACAGTACTACTGAACCGTCGACAAAAGAATACAGTACAACTGAACCTTCGACAACTGAATACAGTACAACTGAACTGTCGACAACTGAATACAGTACAACTGAACTGTGGACATCTGAATACAGTACAACTGAACTGTGGACATCTGAATACAGTACAACTGAATCGTCAACAACTGAGTACAGCACAACAAAACCATCGTCAACAGAATATAGTACTACTGAAACTTCAACAACAAAATACAGTACTACTGAACCGTCGACAACAGAATTCAGTACTACTTACTCGTCGACAACTGAATACAGTACAACTGACTCGTCGACAAATGAATACAGTACAACTGAGCCGTCGACAACAGAATACAGTACAACTGAACCGTCGACAACAGAATACAGTACAACTGAGCCGTCGACAACAGAATACAGTACAACTGAGCCGTCGACAACAGAATACAGTACAACTGAGCCGTCGACAACAGAATACAGTACAACTGAACCGTCGACAACAGAATACAGTACAACTGAGCCGTCGACAACAGAATACAGTACAACTGAGCCGTCGACAACCGAATACAGTACAACTGAAGCGTCGACAACGGAATACAGTACAACTGAATCGTCGACAACTGAATACAGTACTACTGAACCTTCGACAACAAAATACAGTACTACTGAACCGTCGACTACTGAACCGTCCACAATTGAATACAGTGGAACTGAACTGTCCACAACAAAATACAGTTCAACACTACCGTCGGCAACTGAATACAGTACTACTGAACCTTCGACAACCGAATACAGTACAACTGAACCGTTGACAACAGAATACAGTACTACTGAACCGTTGACAACTGAACTGTCCACAACTGAATACAGTACAACTGAACCGTCAACAACAGAATATAGTACAACTGAATCGTCGATAACTGAATACAGTACAACTGAACCGTCGACAACAGAATACAGTACCACTGCACAGTCGACAACTGAATATAGTACAACTGAACCGTCGACAACTGAATACAGTACAACTGAACCTTCGACAACAGAATACAGTACAACTGAATCGTCGATAACTGAATACAGTACAACTGAACCGTCGACAACAGAATACAGTACAACTGCACAGTCGACAACTGAATATAGTACAACTGAACCGTCGACAACTGAATACAGTACAACTGAACCTTCGACAACAGAATACAGTACTACTGAACCGTCGAATACTGAACCGTTGACAACTGAATACAGTGGAACTGAACAGTCGACAACTGAATACAGTACAACTAAACCGTCGACAACCGAATACAGTGCAACTGAACAGTCAACAACCGAATACAGTACAACTGAACAGTCAACAACAGAATATAGTACAACTGAACCGTCGACAACTGTATACAGTACAACTGAAACCTCATCAACAGAATACAGTTCAACTGAACCGTTGACAATAGAATACAGTACTACTGAACCGTCGACAACTGAAGAACTGTCAACAACAGAATACAGTACAAATGAGCCATCGACAACTGAATACAGTTCAACACAACCGCTGTCAACTAAATACAGTTCAACACAACCGTCGACAACTGAATACAGTACAACTGAACCGTCGACAACCGAATACAGTACAACTGAACCGTCGACAACGGAATACAGTACAACTGAATCGTTGACAACTGAATACAGTACTACTGAACCTTCGACAACAAAATACAGTACTACTAAACCGTCGACAACTGAAGAACTGTTAACAACAGTATACAGTACAAATGAGCCATCGACAACTGAATACAGTTCAACACAACCGCTGTCAACTAAATACAGTTCAACACAACCGTCGACAACTGAATACAGTACAACTGAACCGTCGACAACCGAATACAGTACAACTGAACCGTCGACAACGGAATACAGTACAACTGAATCGTTGACAACTGAATACAGTACTACTGAACCTTCGACAACAGAATACAGTACTACTGAACCGTCGACAACTGAAGAACTGTTAACAACAGTATACAGTACAAATGAGCCATCGACAACTGAATACAGTTCAACACAACCGCTGTCAACTAAATACAGTTCAACACTACCGTCGGCAACTAAATACAGTACAACTGGAGCGTCAACAACAGAATACAGTACTACTGAACCATCCACAGCTGAATACAGTACTACTGAACCTTCGACAACAGAATATAGTACAACTGAATCGTCGATAACTGAATACAGTACAACTGAACCGTCGACAACAGAATACAGTACAACTGCACAGTCGACAACTGAATATAGTACAACTGAACCGTCGACAACTGAATACAGTACAACTGAACCGTCGACAACTAAATACAGTACAACTGAACCGTCGACAACTAAATACAGTACAACTGAACCTTCGACAACAGAATACAGTGCTACTAAACCGTCGACAACTGAACTGTCCACAACTGAAAACAGTGCAATTGAACTGTCCACAACTGAATACAGTACAACTGAACCGTCGACAACTGAATACAGTACTACTGAACCTTCGACAACAGAATACAGTACTACTGAACCGTCGACAACTGAACTGTCCACAACTGAATACAGTGCAACTGAACTGTCTACAACTGAACCGTCGACAAAAGAATATAGTACGACTCAACAGTCGACAACCGAATACAGTACAACTGAACCGTCGACAACGGAATACAGTACAACTGAATCGTCGACAACTGAATACAGTACTACTGAACCTTCGACAACAGAATACAGTACTACTGAACCGTCGACTACTGAACCGTCCAGAACTGAATACAGTGGAACTGAACTGTCAAGAACTGAATACAGTACAACTGAACCGTCAACAACAGAATACAGTACAACTGAATACAGTACAACTAAACCGTCGACAACCGAATACAGTACAACTGAACAGTCAACAACACAATACAGTACAACTGAACCGTCGACAACTGTATACAGTACAACTGAAACCTCATCAACAGAATACAGTTCAACTGAACCGTTGACAATAGAATACAGTACTACTAAACCGTCGACAACTAAAGAACTGTCAACAACAGAATACAGTAAAAATGAGCCATCGACAACTGAATACAGTTCAACACAACCGCTGTCAACTAAATACAGTTCAACACAACCGTCGACAACTGAATACAGTACAACTGAACCGTCGACAACGGAATACAGTAAAACTGAATCGTTGACAACTGAATACAGTACTACTGAACCTTCGACAACAGAATACAGTACTACTGAACCGTCGACAACTGAAGAACTGTCAACAACAGTATATAGTACAAATGAACCATCGACAACTGAATACAGTTCAACACAACCGCTGTCAACTAAATACAGTTCAACACAACCGTCGGCAATTAAAGACAGTACAACTGGACCGTCAACAACAGAATACAGTACTACTGAACCATCCACAACTGAATACAGTACTACTGAACCTTCGACAACTGAATACAGTACTACTGAACCTTCGACAACCGAATACAGTACAACTGAACCGTTGACAACAGAATACAGTACTACTGAACCGTTGACAACTGAACTGTCCACAACTGAATACAGTACAACTGAACCGTCCACAACAGAATATAGTACAACAGAATCGTCGATAACTGAATACAGTACAACTGAACCGTCGACAACAGAATACAGTACAACTGCACCGTCGACAACTGAATATAGTGCAATTGAATCGTCGACAACTGAATACAGTACTACTGAACCTTCGACAACAGAATACAGTACTACTGAACCGTCGACGATTGAAGAACTGTCAACAACAGAATACAGTACAAATGAGCCATCGACAACAGAATACAGTACAACTGACCCGTTGACAACAGAATACAGTATTACTGAACCGTTGAAAACTGAACTGTCCACAACAGAATACATTGCAACTGAACTGTCCACAACTGAATACAGTACAACTGAACCGTCGACAACAGAATATAGTACAACTGAACCGTCGACAACTGAATACAGTACAACTGAACCGTCGACAACTGAATACAGTGCAACTGAACGGTCCACAACTGAATACAGTACAACTGAACCGTCGACAATAGAATACAGTACAACTGAACAGTCGACAACTGAATACAGTACAACTGAACCGTCGACAACTCAATACAATACAACTGGACCGTCGACAACTGAATACAGTACAACTGAACTGTCCAACACTGAATATAGTACAACTGAACTGTCAACAACAGAATATAGTACAACTGAACCGTCGACAGGTAAATACAGTACAACTGAAACCTCATCAACAGAATACAGTACAACTGAACCGTCGACAACTGAATACAGTGCAACTGAACGGTCCACAACTGAATACAGTACAACTGAACCGTCGACAATAGAATACAGTACAACTGAATACAGTACAAATGAGCCATCGACAACTGAATACAGTTCAACACAAGAGCTGTCAACTAAATACAGTTCAACACAACTGTCGACAACGGAATACAGTACAACTGAACCGTCGACAACGGAATACAGTACAACTGAATCGTCGACAACCGAATACAGTACTACTGAACCTTCGACAACCGAATACAGTACAACTGAACCGTTGACAACAGAATACAGTACTACTGAACCGTTGACAACTGAACTGTCCACAACAGAATACAGTGCAACTGAACTGTCCACAACTGAATACAGTACAACTGAACCGTCGACAACAGAATATAGTACAACTGAACCGTTGACAACTGAAGAACTGTCAACAACAGAATACAGTACAAATGAACCGTCGACAACAGAATACAGTGCAACCGAACCGTCGACAACTGTATGCAGTACAACCGAACCGTCGACAACTGAATACAGTACAACTGAACCGTCGACAACTGACTACAGTACAACTGAACTGTCGACAACTAAATACAGTACAACTGAATCGTCACCAACTGAATACAGCACATCAGAACCGTCGACGACAGAATACAGCACATCAGAACCTTTGACAACAAAATACAGTACTACTGAACCTTTGACAACAGAATACAGTACAACTGAACTGTCGACAACTGAATACAGTTCTACTTTACTGTCCACAACTGAATACAGTACCACTGAAACCTCATCAACAGAATACAGTAGAACTGAACTGTCGACAACTGACTACAGTACAACTGAACCGTCGACAACTAAATACAATACAACTGAATCGTCAACAACTGAATACAGCACATCAGAACCGTCGACGACAGAATACAGTACAACTGAACCGTCAACAACTGAATACAGTACAGCTGAGCCATCGACAACTGAATACAGTACAATTGAACCATTGACAACTGATTACAGTACAACTCATCTATCGACAACTGAATACAGTACAACTAAACCATCAACCACTCAACAGTTGACAAGTGGATATAGTACCACAGAACTGTCGACAACTGAATATAGTACTACAGAGCCATCAGCAACTGAATACAGTACCATAGAGCCATCAACAACAGGATATAGAACAGAAACACCTACGACTAGATACAGTACAACTGAACCGTCGACGACTGAGTACATAATAACTGAACCGCTAAAAACTGACATTAGTACTACAGAACCATCAACAACTAAATACAGGACAACGAAGCAGCCAACAACTCAGAATAGTACCACTGAGCCGCCGTTGATAACTACTGCATTTAACACTTTTAATGGTACATTGATTTATTTATTTTTATAATTTCAGAAAGCCGTATTTTGATTAATCTGTGCATGGTCGAAAATGGTGGGTGCAGTCACGTTTGCAGTAGTCCTTCAAATAGAATCGTGTGCTCCTGTAGGAGTGGCTATCGTCTAATGTCAGATGGCAGGTCATGCGGTAACCTAGTCATATATACAATTAATGATAAATGCAATTAGCATAGATGCATTTTTTACCCTAATTTCTTCGCTCTATTGTGCAGTTCTTTAATATAGCGCATATTTAATGCACACCAATTTAGATTCCCAATAATCGACTGACCTTATGAGTCAATCGTTGATATCCTGTCAAACATTCATAATTCACAAATTTGACTTTACCTGTTTAATTCTTCTTTTCTTGTAGCATTATTCGATCTAATAGTATTAGTATTGCTTCTCTTTAAGCGATTATAACTGTTATATTATTTCTTGACACGTAATCCTCATCATTGAAATCTGTTTAAAATTTAGCCAGAGTTGAAGGTCTGTGTTCCAGCGGAAACGAGTGTGAGCATATTTGTACAGTTGACGCGGATGGATATATATGTAGTTGCAATTCATCCTATATTTTGTTTTATGATGAAGTTAGCTGTGTTTTAGATGGTGAGACCACCCTCCTTTTGTGTACAACAGAGGATGAAATTAAATTGCACTGTAAATGCTTTTTAGCAATTTACATAACACGTTGCATCGGATGAGCACACGATTCTCTTGAAAGGCCTACAATTTTTGCAAACGTAACTACGTCATCATTCACGACCAAAATAACCTATTTGTCAATTTTATACGTCATTTTTTCTAACGTTAACATTATAATTCCTGTTTTTGTTTACATCTCCTATGAGATACGGAACAGAATATAAAGGATGGTGCAAGCTTAGGCCTGTCCAGAAGGTCGTGGCTGGTCCATAAACGCACTCATAAACGTATGAAATATGACGTGATCCCACAAAATTCAGACAAAAGTAGCAAAATATTGAAACTTGTTATTCAATTACATTCTATAATTAATAAGCTTTACAATGGTATAACGTATTGGCTTTATTAGTTTTTTCTAATTAAATTACTATTTTATATATTGCAAATTGTTTTTGGTTTTATTCTGTTTCATGACTAAACAGACATTGTACAGAATTTTGCTGGTTCAAATAATATTTCAATAACCTGATGAAGATATTTCAATTTGTATTTAAGATTTGCATTTACAGTTTACATTTGCTGATATTTTCTATCTTTACAATATCTATACGTTTGTTATGTTAACTAGTCTGTGCATTTGGAACATATTGTAATATGAATGGGCTTCTCGACGAAGATACGTGTACTTGTCACTGTTTCTCCGGCTATAAAGGCGAATTTTGTAATTGTACGTATCATCTAAAATTGTCTGTTAATGTGTAAATATTTATAGAGTAAAATGTGTTGTGTGCGACTTCTGTTGTGCGCTGCCTAGTGAATTGCACCGCGTGACAGAACGATTTTTTTCACTGTTTCATACTGCTGATAAATGTCATTAGAGTTATGTTAAGAAGAGATTTCTTTATTTCTTGATTTTTCTTTATTGCATCACGTAACATATGATGCAAATTACAAAATTTAAACAGAAAAAAAAAAACCCCAAAAAAAAAACATTACACATCATAAACAATTTAATTATCAAATAGAAGAAAGTGAAAAAGAATATTTAAGTTTATAAATGCCATTTAATTTCAAAATATATTTTTCCTAATTTGGTATAATAAGATGTCTGCATATTTACAAGGATTATTTTGTGTCTAGATAAGTATACATATCTGATGCAATTTAATTTTGGCACGTTTCAGCCACGTGCAATATTGATGAAAGCAGTTGCTGGAAAGATTATCCAAGTCCTGTTGTTAGATACAATGGAAATGCCTGTCCAATATACAGCCCTAGTATTGGTAAATATTGCAGATCCATTTATTTTGTGTTGTTTTATTGCGAGTCATATTGAATATTATGCTATTTTACGAGCTTGAATTCACCATTACATAGGGATATGTTTCTATTTAAAATGTTATTAAAAACATACATTCAAATTTAGACTGCAACGATGAGTTTATTTGTATAAATGGCGGCTATCTTGAAAAGCAAAGTGGATTTGAGGAAGTACCTGGGATGTGCCGCTGCTACTGTCATTTCCCCTGGAGTGGTGCTACCTGTGAAGGTATGCCTGATGTGTTAATAGAGAGCTTTGGATTGCACGACGATGGAAGAACGTAAATGACGTGATTTTGGATGAAACTCGCATTTTGCATAAACACATGCGTGATCATAAATTTGTATTTTGTATAAATTCGTATTTAGCACAAGTCTGCGTGATAACGAATTATCACGAATTCAGTGGAAAATGTACAGTATTTAAAACTCAAATTGTATGTGGCTCTATTAAAAATATTTTTATTTATGCACCCGATATTGTCAACAAACACTCCCTGAAATCATTTAAACAGCTAAAATATGCTCAGATCGGCTGAGCGCAAGGGGCCTAATCCCTGGTTCCCAACCGGGGCTTCGCTTCTGGACCCCCAGTGGCCCCATGAGCAAATACTTATTTTATAGAGTGAACAGATATTCAACAGACATAGGCCTATTTTTTTTAATTAAAGAAATAATACCACCTCACTGGTGTAGTCACGCATTTCAAATCTCTCAGAATGGTAGCTATGCATGAAGTCAACTGCGCATGCGAAAAACGTTGAATTCTCGCGGTCGCATGGATTCTGGGACGCAATTTGGCCAAATCTATGTTGTGCAGAGAATGCAGGCAGTCATGTATGGGTGTTGTGCAGAGAATGCAGGCAGTCATGTATGGGTGAATCCGTTCTAGCGTTGTGTCGTCGTCGAAATCGAAAGCTCCCTATTATTATGATTTCATCATTGGAAAATAATCATACAGAGTTGTACAACCTCTTCCACACTGTATTTTAATGCTTGTTTTTTTTCTTAAGGCCAACTCAGACAGCGTCGGCCGACGCAGCCCGACGCGATTTGTTGTCGCGTCGGGTCTGTGTGAGTTGAACGCAGATGCGATAGTGTGCGTCGGGGGCAGTCGCGTAGTAGAATATTAAACGTGTTTAATATTTCTGACGACGGCTTAAGACTGTCCCCGACGATAAATCGGGTCGGGCTGCGTCGGCCGACGCTGTCTGAGTTGGCCTTTAAATGTATTATTTTTACTCGGGAACATTTTCGCTTAGAGGCCAAGTTAATCTTTTATATAATGAGGTTTAGCGGTTGGGCATTTGTTTTTCTAATAACGGTACCACACGATTTAATCGTGAGTTTAGAACTTTAGATACAGCTATCTGAACCATTAAGTTTAACCGTTGTTATTTAAGATTGCAGGTAAAAACTATGCTACTAATTTGTTTGTGAATGTTATCCACCCATCGTACTTTTTAATTTTTTCCCCTACCTTATAATTATAATACAGCATTCCCGTTTTCAGATTGTAATTTAGAGTGTGTCTATGGAACTCTTAATCAAGGCAACTGTACTTGTTCGTGTAACGACGGTTACTATGGTGTTGATTGCTCGAGTAAGTTGGTATTCAATTACCCCTTATGCGTATGTAGTCTTAATCGAAAGAAGTCTGGATATCTATTTATCCTCTTTACGTTTACACAAGCATGACTTGTGGTTTCCCTATAATGGACATGGTGACGTATTACACCCACATGAGACAAATCATTATTACCTGTCATGTGATAGCGTGAACAGATATTTTAACATACATATTCCTATTAGTTTATTAAAGAAATAATACCTTTTCGATTTAGTCTAAATCGTCGAGGGAAGGGACAAAACAATATAGGCTTATGTTCAGCTATAACTGGAATGTTTGTATTTTACGAGCATTAGCAATTCATAAGTGGTGCGCTCTCAACACAAGCGTGTATACGATTTGACGTTATGCGCGGCAAAATAAGCATTGTCTAAAATATATTATTAACATTTATGTGATTTTGTTGGATTGTTTCGATGTAAAAGACTTTAGACTTTTTTAGATTTTTGTGTTATCCGTGGTATTTTTTTATTGTTTATCTGCTTAGTCACTGAATAAAATGAAATTAAGAACTTTGATTTGTCCAATATCAAGTATGTATGCAAACGAGAAAGTGAATTGCTTCCCCCATATTACGTTTCTTTTCAGGTTTGTGTAAACAGACTTCACTACTTTGTACACGGCACACTGAAGGAAGATGCGACCATAATGTAATTCGAAAACATTGTCCCATAATGTGCGGCGTATGTGGTGAGTATGAGTTTTGGTCTGGTGGATAGTCTATAATGGGAGTTTGAGAAATTGTGAGACGCAATATTTATAAGGCACCTTTCCTTCTATGTTACGAAGCCTTAATTTTATCCTTGGCTATTGGGTCCATATGTTAAAGTAACCCCAAAAGGTACACAAACACCTGGTCGTGGGTGGAGAGAAGCAATGTTTTGCTTTGCTAAAAGATACAATAGAAGTACACAGCGATGGATTGAAATACCAAACCGTTTCTGCTGTGCCAGACTGCTTTCCCCGGACAGCAATGGTTTTACTACCCAGAAGGGTAATTTAAACAATGCTGTTACACCAAATCATTCCCTTTGAGCTAACCCGCCTCCTCTCCCCTACTCTTCCCGGCTAGGAGAAACGTAACTGTTACATCGACCTGTGTTGCCCTAGTAATGATAACCTTATGTTATGTGAATTATATCACACACTATACGGCATATCAGTCGGTTTTAACATATGGATTCGAGCCATCGTATGGACAATAAGCAAATATAAAGCAAACGTTTCCCATAGTACATATTCACTATTGAAATTATTTTATATTTTGGGATGTGCATGTACAGTTGACATCTCCCTATTCTCCGTTTCCGTTCCGTTTTCTATGTAATTTGTAGCTGAAAACTTCAGTTAAATGTTAATTTTAATAGTTGAGCACATGATGTTAGGCTTATCATAAAATATACTGACAATTTTGCATGAGACTTGTGTAAAACAATTCACTATATTATATTTTTAACTGATTGTATTTCGGGTAATTTTACAGTGCCGCTTTAAACGTTTGGCTTGTGATGTTTGTCGTCTGCGAATTTAATGCTAAAGGCAGTGGCTACATACATGTCAGCAGTGTTCCAGGCAGCAGAGTATTAAGTACGCAGTAGACTGTACATGATTGGTCGAATAGTAAATAGTAGACCCTACATGATTGGTCGAATAATAAAGGACATTCTACATGATTGGTCAACTCTTTCCGTGAATAGATAGACGACGTGGAAGTTTACACCCACAAATATTAGGCTTACAAGCAATAATGATTGGCTGAGACAAAACGGACAGTTGTAATAATGTGTACCGTATCTAATATTGTCATAGATGTTAATTTGTAATTAATAAAATATATATATATATTATGTGCATAATATTTTTGAATCGCAATACCAAAATGTGAACAATCAAATAAATTGAAAATTTGTTTATAAATTTTTTAAATCCATTATTTAACTTTCTAGTTTTGCATTACATTTATATCCACCACGACACTTAAGCTCACATTGAATAGACGTTTACATACAATAATAATAATAATAATAATAATAATAATAGTAATAATAATATTAAATAATAATAATATTAGTAATAATAATAATAGTAATAATAATAGTAGTAGTAATAATAATATTAGTAGTAATAATAATAATAATAAATAAAAATTATAATATTGCTTAGAAAATACATGCTCCCTCTGTTTCTTTCTTTTGTATTTCAATTCATCCAAGATAACTTTTAAAGCCTATTAGCAATAACAAATTGACCAAATTAAAATCACCCAGGAAACACTACATAGTACCAAAGAGTCTAGATTGCAGTTCTATATTCTTTAATACTGGATAGTGATTTGCAATCTAAAATGTTAGTCTTGGGTCTATATTTAAATAACCCCTCCCACTTATTATTTAATGGATGTAATTTTAAACAAGTATATATATTTTTTTCTCAAAGTATTATATATCCATATATATATATCGATTTCCATTGCCTACTAACGAGACTACTACTGCTCACATTGAAAGGCTTATATAATTATATTAATTATTATTATTGTTATTGTTATTATTATTATTATTATTATATAATAACACATATACATATATGTATACATATATATATATAATATATTTATATATACATATAATAATAATAATAATAATAATAATAATAATAATAAAAATTATTATATATGTATGTATGTATGTATATATATATATGTATGTAGGGCCTGTATGTATGTATTATTATTCTTTATTTGCCAAACAACACAAAAATGCAATACAAGTGTGGTCTACGTATACAGAATACAAATACAATGTATTAAACGAATGAATGCGCAGGGCCAACAAAACCAAACTTGATCACTATAACAAAAAGTCTGAGCCTCAGTTAGAAATATTATGGCAATAACGTGTTGGGTGCACATATTTTCAGAAATTTATAGTTGAACAGCATAGGCAAACTTAACAAGTTGGCGTATATCGGAACAGTATCTTTCATTTTTCATGAATATTTCGGTCGCAACTACCGTACACGTTGGTTGAGAAAGGTCGCAGATATAATCGTGAGAAATAAATGATAAATGTTTTGATATACGTCACCTTGGGATTTCATCTGCTTACCTATGCTATTCAACTTTACTGTAATTAATATAGGCAATAGTTTCACGCTTAGTGGCGATCACCAGATAACTGTACGCTTGTATTTTTACAGTATAGTTTTGAGCACTTTATATTTAGTTTTGAGATACTAAAGCACCTCCGACCTCATATTATCATCGTAGTATATATATGTTTTATTCGAGCTTTCAGACAATTGTATAATGCCCCTTATGACAATACTTATACCACGAGTTTCTTAATATAGCACACTGTATGTCAATAGACTACTACTGTACAGCTACTTGCAATTTTATAAGGTTTTAATAGTGCAAATCCACAGGGTTATATTCATTTTGTAAATGAATATACAACTAAACATAAACATAATACCAGTTTACAATATAACTATATTTGCTTGATGGTATCAAGTCTGTCTTCGAAACTAAAATATCTTTCAAAAGAGGGAGTGCAAGGAGTAAGAATTATCCAATATTGTACTACCACAAGTAGCACTTCTGTAATACAAGGGTCGGAATAGCTATAAACAACAGGAAACATACAGTAGTCCTATACAATAAGCAAAAATACATACTTCTTTCTTTTTATGTAATCGATAAGGTAAATATGTTTAATAGGCACTAAATTCTAACTGAAAAACCATCTGAACCATTGCTGCCGAAATTCGTCGAAACCTCAAGACAGAATGACAGATGAAAAGAAAAATAATAAAATAAATTAGGTAAATCAAGAAAAGGAGGAATTAAACGGACATTCCCACATTCTAATTCATTCATTCTAATTTTAAACATAGATGAATTATTATTAGCATTTCATAGGCCCCTAGCCGGTTGGGGGTGCCGACGTGGGTGCGTACGCTCACCTCTTTCAAATCAAATTGAAAAGGTCCATATTTTTAAAGCCAGGCTTAGAAAGAAATGCTTGATATGTTGTAGAACTGACACAAAAAGGGTGTTTGACGAAGAATTCAGGAACTGTATATGGGGTACAGATTTTGGAAAATGATGAACACCCTTTTCCCACCTTTTCCCCAGTTTTAAAATATTAAAAAATCTGCATCTCATTAACCGTTGCCGAGTTTTTCATCAAAATTGAACACCCTTTTTGTGTTTAAAGCTCTGTCCACACTATCAAAATGCCAGTTATAATAATTATGCCTATAGAGTACCACTGTAGTAATAGGCCTTGTAGTAGTATCACGCGGTATCGTGACGTAACACTGTAGTACTCTATATGATGATGTGGCATTGTAAGTATTAGTCTGTAATCGGCATTAAATTGTACGCACTAGTGGAGGAGGTTCCAATTTTGGGCTGGTTTGAACGTGGATCCGATGACCAAGGGTATTAATAACAACATCGCAAGCGTCTTGTATCCCTTGGCAAAATGCGTAGTATAAATCTCTATATTATTATTATTTATTTATTATTATTTATTATTTATTATTTATTATTTATTATTTATTATTTATTATTATTTATTATTTATTATTATTATTATTATTTATTATTATTATTATTATTATTATTTATTATTTATTATTATTATTATTATTATTTATTATTATTATTATTATTATTATTATTATTATTATTATATGATCATGATGTGATTTAGGCATTTCGCATGCATTTCATTCTGGTTTATCAAAAAAACATTTTGATCTGGCAGTACAAATTGAATTCTATCAAAAATCACATGGATAAAATGGTAACACAATAAAACAAAAACCCGTGTTTTCATCAAATGAAACTTTGATAGTCTGGACATACAGCGGTTTAAAAAAATCAGTTGTACGATGTATAAAACAAAATTCCTCCGGAGCCTCACTTTAAGACAGTCAAAAATATAAAATATAAAATTAGTTTTATTCTGTACTAAAACGTTAAAGGGAATTTTAAATATGCATTTTAACCAGTAATCCATCGGAATCCTACAATTCCAAAGTTGCAGTACAGCTGTCTTTTCCCATCTAGTGGTCATTACCCTGATCATAATTAATTAATAAATTGATATGATACATATAGGTAAAATAACCCCTTTGAATTGAATATAACATTGCGACCTTCAAATGTACAGTATATGATTATTATTATTATTATTATTATTATTATTATTATCATCATCATCATTATTATTATTATTCAGTTCTTTTAATATTCTTGATGATTTTACACACAATAATTATCAACTTAAAATATAAGAAGCCCTTTATATTTCTTGGGGAAATCCGTCAGTGAACAAATAAACAACTCATTACAATATCACTCTTTTATTCTAATTCTTATATAGGCCTACATGACTTACCACAGTATTTATGACCTTCATATACATGAATTGTCTTAGTATTTGCTTGTTTGTCAGACTTCTGACCGGTAGTAGCATAAACATGATTGTTTAATGATGACGTATGACACGACGAAAGTCGTTAATTAGTTTCGTACACTTCATTAGATACATTACTGCAATTGGATATGATTATAATTACCACGTGAAATAATTAAGCACGTTCAAAACACAAGGCAATGACCTGTCTCTTATACACATCTAGATGTGTATAAGAGACAGGAGTAAGAATTATCCAATATTGTACTACCACAAGTAGCACTTCTGTAATACAAGGGTCGGAATAGCTATAAACAACAGGAAACATACAGTAGTCCTATACAATAAGCAAAAATACATACTTCTTTCTTTTTATGTAATCGATAAGGTAAATATGTTTAATAGGCACTAAATTCTAACTGAAAAACCATCTGAACCATTGCTGCCGAAATTCGTCGAAACCTCAAGACAGAATGACAGATGAAAAGAAAAATAATAAAATAAATTAGGTAAATCAAGAAAAGGAGGAATTAAACGGACATTCCCACATTCTAATTCATTCATTCTAATTTTAAACATAGATGAATTATTATTAGCAGGCAAAAAATAAAAATAAATTCACTCACATTTTTTAATAATTTGTAAAGAAAAAAGCTAAAAAAAACCCCTTTTTTAAAAAGTGTATTTGTTTTTCTGCCTCTATTTTTTTTCAGTGAGTAGGGCGGATGGGGAGGGCAAACAAACAATTTTTCTTAAAATCAAATGACACGATTTGACTTATTGAATTAAAAAACAGATATAACAAAAGAAGATATAATTTGGTTATAGCGTATATAATAGTACTCCTATTTTGCATCAAGTAATGACGTGTTTTTAAGGACCAATGAAACGCAAATACTAACATTGTTATTCTGATTTAATTTATTAACATAATCAGGTGGTTAAAGATTTGTTGTTCTTGTTCATACAGTTCATTTCGATTACGCCAACTCACGATAGCAGTACCTGTTCAGTTCTGAGAAGGAAAAATTAACAAAATTATGTTTTTCTTGTTTATTATCACTTCATGCATATTTTGCAATACATTGCAACTTGACTTTCAGCATGGATTTTTTAATAACGGAACTACTACAAACTATATGTTTATAAGGGGTATGCCTACAGCAGGAGCAAATGCTAATCCACTATCCGATTCAGAAAAAGCAGCGCTCTTGGAAGTACATAATGATGGAAGAAGAACTGTGTATCCCGAGGCATCAAATATGAACAATGTGGTCTGTTTCAATTTATTTCTAATTTAGATAAAATCTGTACCCAAAGGGAAGAAGTTAGATGTAAATAGACTTAATTACCTTTGTTTTTACTAAATAGAAACGTGTTTAGGTCGTGGATAATAGGGAACTTTTGATTTGTGCGACGACGCGACGGTAGAACGGAATCGCTCATGCGTGACCGTCCTACCTGTCGTCCTATGTTCTCTGCATTAGATTTGGCCAAATTGCGTTCTAGAGTCTCCTCAACAAGGTGACCTTAACGTTCTCGCATGCGCAGATGACTTTTAGTGACGTCATTACGTTTTACGTCTTACCGTCGTCATGCAATCGAAAGCTCCCTATCTGAGGTGGTGTTGATTGATGAGCTTCTTTAACCCTAACCTTAAAATCTAGATTTGTTAATGCACTACTAGACTGTAGAATATCCATACTGGCGGCCTATACATAAGCCAAATTTAAGTGTGTTCGGGGCTAATCGACGAGGTGACCTTAACGTTCTCGCATGCGCAGATCACTTTTAGTGACGTCATTACGTTTTACGTCTTCCGTCTTGCAATCGAAAGCTCCCTATCTGAGGTGGTGTTGATCGATGAGCTTTAACCTAACCTTAAAAATCTAGATTTTTTAATGCACTACTGTAGAATATCCATACTGGCGGCCTATACATAAGCCAAATTTAAGTGCATTCTGGGCTAATGTATTTGAAACCACACTAGCGGGTGCGAATATAACTTGAAAGAAAATTTTATTTTCAAATCTGAGGTAATGGAGGTGGCTTAACCATACAGTAAATACACTTCCAAATATTATGCGTTTACGGTCGTCGGTCAACGCGATTCTATGAAGAGCCCGACGACGGTACGCACGCAACGGATCGTTTTTAATGACGATCCGTTCTGACTGCCACCGAAATCAACTGACGGCGTCGCGTCGTCTAGCGCTCACAGCAGAAAATCCGTCGCACGACGCAAGTGCCCGCTATAATTACACTTCTATCGGCCTCTATAAGTACTGTATCTAGTTTTGCAGCGGTAGGGAATCTATTCTGTCACGCATGTCATTTCCGTTCTTGTTGTGTCATTTTGATCTAATTAACTGTTAATCGGATGGCATGATAGTCTTGTGTTTATAAATACACCCAACATTGTGTTGTGTAAACTTGTCCTATTAGGCATGGGATTTCGAGCTCGAAAGTGCAGCACAAGAATCAACAGATACCTGCTACTATGCCATAACGCCATCGACAGACTTGGATTCGTCTTCCCGACGAATTGCTCAGTTTGCGGGGATCACACATGTCGATTCGTTCAGATTGTCAACTATAATAAACAGCTGGTTTGATAATGGTGGCTATTATGAATATACGACGAGGACCTGCAACAGTGTATCTGTCGATTACTGTAATGCTTACAAATTAGTAAGTTACATTAAATGTAGGCCTACAATATAGGCCTACAGTGTATTTATTATCCGTATTTAATACAGAAACTTTGACTGTAAAATACCTAGGCAGATCAGACAGTAATTTTATTAACCATAATTTGACGTTGAGAATTAAATTGCAATGCAGCATTCTATAAATACAGGAGTTCTAATAAAATGATATGAAGTTAGTGATTACTATACTGTACTCGTTACTGCGTTCGCAGACTGGGTTCCAGTCCCTAATATTTGTCTTAATCAGTTAAAATGCTTAAGAATAAATCAATTTTGGCACCAATGGCATTCCATATTACTTATTTACATGGCGTTCCATAGTATACTTTATCATTAAATTAGAGACTTGAGGCAAGTCTACTGCGTTGGCTACAGAAGGAAGACCTGTTCCTGTACCCTAATCTCCTCTCTACTTCTTAAGCCTGATTTCCATAAAAATCGCTACGCGTCATATCCCCGACTTCTGATTGGTCAGTTGAATCAGGGCACGTTCCCGACTGCGTCGGGGACAGCACGCAGTGCAAGGATTGCAACGCTGTAGCGACTCAGTGTAGCGATTCTATGGAAACCAGGCATTCAGATTTATAGATCAATCATAAAATACATGAAATTTGTTTTCCTGAGTTGTAATAATACACATAAATTTCATTAAAATATAAGTACACAAAAACATTCAGCTTTATAATGACCGTAATATCATTAATACCCTGATTTTATCCATTCATAGTTATTCCCCCCGCCTCTAATTGTCTCATCTCTCTTCGCGACTTGATAACTTGATACCAAATCCATGTACTCCTCTTCTAATGTAGGCCCCTACCCATTTCTATTCCGTCTTCTGTTTAGCTTACGTGGGCAGAGATGACTAAAATAGGATGTGCTCAAACATACTGTTCTGTGCTTTACGACGCTCAAAATGACATGAACAGAACAAATATTTGGTATTTCAAGTGCAATTATGAAGATGTGTAAGTATCTGTATTGTATAATCTAATTCAAGATGACTATAATTAATTATTATGAGTTTAGATATTACATTACTTTCTTTAAGTTAGCAGGGATGGCGTCAATGGGACAGCCGGTCACCCCGTCGGTGAGAAAAACCACAATTCGCCGTGTCGTCGTCGGGGAGCAAAAAACATAATGTTTTCTGCATTATTAGTAGACTCTAAAATCGATTAAATAAGCCTTTGAAACTCCCGAAATGTCATATTTTCGGAGGCTTTTCCCCCTGGATTACTTAAGATTTTGAGCGACGCCCGACCTCGGCCATCCTTCGGGCAAGTCCTGGCCCCACCCCTGGAAGTTATGACAGCCGTGCCACACCAAAACATCCTCCTGTTTCTGAGAATTAAAAAACTCTGTCGCCCTCTATTGTGCTCTAGCTTGATTTGAATTGAATTGTGAAAAGTTTTACGGTTGCCATTGGTGTTCGTTCGCAGAGGGGTGTCTGTGAAGCTAAACTACTAATTAAGTAAGCCCTGAACTAGGCCTAGACTAGAAATAATTATGAAAGATATTTTCATAGGAGGCCTAGGAATATTCTAGACAAGCAATGACTAGCTTAGGTAAGTTTTAATCTGCTTTTTGTACTTCTTAATGCATAATGTGGGCGTGTGATCGTACTGTTAGTATGAATAATTTTAGGCATAGGCCTAGTTGCGTTAAAACCAGTTGCTCTTAGAATACGATTTATTAAATATTATTGATTTTTTGTTATTTGGTATTTATACAGTGCCAATTCCATTTTAGGCTACAAATCGCTTTGTTTTCCCTGGTCATTGGGCACATGTGTTGCTGCCATGTTGGCGCAGTCCAGCAGGCAACCACGTACCCCGGCTCGTGGTGGAGAGAAGCAGTGCAGACGGGAGTGCAGATGAAGCACCTTGCTCAAGGACACAAGCGAAATACACAGCGAGAGATTAAACTTTTTTGTTTGGCAGTGACTTATTACACAAACCAATTCTTAATTGATTAGATGTTATTGTTACATACAATAACATCCAATTAAAATTAAGAATTTGTTTAAGATTGGTGTAACAATAGGCACTGTCTATTGTTTTTGTTTACATTTGTCGCGTGAATGGAACCATCTGTTATTACTGGTATAATTCAACAAATAGAACATGATCTTGGATTGGATTGGATTTATTTGGTGTAAACACAAGGATAGCCCACAAAAGTCTAGAAGACTTATTTCCAGTGGGTACTTATGGTGGTGATTTGGCAGTACACCAGCAGACAATCTTTTCCGAAGCGTGTACTGCATTCTTTAATGTGAACATGGGCCATAAATGAACGGTACCAACGGATTAAATGTCTCATTCGAAAAGACGGTGTGCTATAGAGTACTGCAGTTGTGTCGTCACAACGCCAGGTGGCGCCCCCGGTGGCACTCTCACAAACAGAATAAATTGGGTAAATTTATGTTTAGATGAGTGCAACTGGGCTTAGGCTATTGTACCTTGCAGTAGTAAAAGAGAAAACCCTTTTTAGGGAATGTAATGATAACACTATTTCAAATCAATCATCCTCGATAACACATTAATAAAAAATCTTAATTTTAGTTGAGTTGGCAGAAAATCTAACAAAATATGGAACAAAATATTGAATTTTATAATTACAAATACAAATAAACTTTTATTTCAACTAAAAAAATTATACAGAAATTGACGTTGAACAAAAATGTTATATATTTAAGGAATAATTATGCCTATCTAAAAATTACACAAAAGAATAAAAGAGAAAAAAGACTTCAAAAGGAAACCAGGAAAAGCGTAAAAAAATACAAGACAAGGAGAACAATCAAAAAGAAAGGGGGAAGCAACAAGCACAGAGATTCATAAACATGAAAAACAATCATTTCAAGAACAAGGAGAACTTAAAAGAACAATCAAGATTTTATTTTGCTTTAGTAAGTGTTTTAATATTGCGCACGACTATTATTATTTATATTACCGGTATATTATAAATAGGTCTGATGGCACTCCAGGAATTATTTTTAATATGTCATGGTCTATGATGTTTCTTGAAATAGTGTTGAGAAGTCAAACATATTTCAAACAATTTACAGACTAAAAGAAATAATTTAATCATATATCATCATCTTATTACATGCAGAGGTAGATACGATAAACTGGACTCGTATCTAGTTGGAGCAAAGTGCACTAAATGTTTGCCTGGAACGGGATGGTGTAATGATGGACTTTGTGGTAAGTTTGGTATATCTTTTTTTTAATTACTTATTGTGTCCTGATATTATTTTGAGTTTTTATATAAAGTTTGATAGTGAAAAAATTAATAATTTCTTTTAGCTGTCTTCTGCTGTATTTACTGGCGTAATGTCAATATCATTAACGATGGAAAACGGCCACAATATATACATATTTTATGTGTTTTTTTTACATATTTTTATTTATAAGCTATGCCATGCTCTCACCTAGGGCAGAAACATAGCGCAAACCACGCTGTAGCCCATCAACTATGCAATCCTTGGTGTGTAATTATGGCCAGCCGTTCGATAATGGTCACATTTTGAGAGTAATTATGTGTTGTAGTTTCAAATTTACAACAAAATTAATGGGCGCCTATTTGAGTGTTTACGTATCAATTTATACAAAAAAAATACACACATTCTTTGAATAAACTGCTCATTGGAATAAGTGGCCCTAAAAACCCTTCTCAACAATAAAAGCCCTGCGGCGTTTGTTCGAATAAACACGGTATAAGTTTGCGTTCTTTTTCAGATTCCTATCTTATACTTCTAGGTTCTACAGCCATTTAATATAAAACACTGTTGTACATAATAAATATTTAATGCATAGGTACACATATTAATGTTTTTTCCTAGAGCTAAATTTGCACAGCCGAGTAAAGCGTGATCAGGCCCTTAGCTTAACTGAAAAATCAACAACTAGTATTAGTTCAACCAGGCAGTCAACAACTGGTGTCGGCACTACTAAATCAACAACTGACATCAATTATACTACAGAGCCGTCGACTATTGGACACAAAGCAACAGAGCAATCAACAACTGACAATAGCATAACCAAGAAATCGACAGACATTGTTACAACTGAGCAGTCCACAGCTGAATACAGTACAAAGGAACTGTCAACAGCTGAATACAGTACAATGGAAGAGTCATCAACTGATTACAGTACAAATAAATATAGTGCAACTGAAACGTTGGCAATTCAATACAGTACCACTGCATTGTCGACAACAGAATACAACACAGCTGAACCGTCGTCACCTGACTACAGTACTACAGAACTGTCGTCACCTGACTACAGTGCTACAGAACCGTTGACAACAAAATACAGTAAGACTGAAACATCGACAAATGAATACAATACAATTGAACCGTTGACAACTGAACCGTTGACAACTGAACCGTCGACAATCGAATACAGTACAACTGAACCGTCAACAAACGAATACAGTACAACTAAACCTTCGACAAATAAATACGGTACAAATAAACCCTCGGCAACCGAATACAGTACAACTGAATTGTCAACAACCGAATACAGTACAACTGAACCGCCAACAAACGAATACAGTACAACTGAACCGTCAACAACCGAATACAGTACAACTGAACAATTGACGACAAAATACAGTTTAACTGATCCGTCGACAACTGGCCTGTCGACAACAGAATACAGTACAACTGAACCGTCGACAACCGAATACAGTAAAACTAAACCTTCGACAACAAAATACAGTACAAATAAACCGTCGACAACCGAATACAGCACAACTGAACCGCAGACAACCGAATACAGTGCAACTGAACAATCTACAAATTATCGTACAGCCGTATACATTTCAACTGAACCGTCGACAACCGAATACAGTACAACTGAACAATCGACGACAAAATATAGTACAACTGAACCGTCGACAACCGAATACAGAATAACTAAACCGTCGACAACCGAATACAGTACAACTGAACAATCGACGACAAAATACAGTTCAACAGAATACATTACAACTGAACCGTCGACAACCGAATACAGTACAACTGAACCGTCGACAACCGAATACAGTACAAATGAACCGTCGACAAATGAACCGTTGACAACCGAACACAGTACAACTGAACCATCGTCGACAAAATACAGTACAACCGAACAGTCCACAACTGGATACAGTACAACTGAACCGTCGATAACCGAATACAGTACAACTGAACAATCAACTACAAAATATAGTTCAACGGAACCGTCGACAACC